AGTTAACCTGTAACAGGCCTTCAGATAGTTGAGAAAACGCAAAGAAAGGTGGGCTAGAAAAAATGGCGAAGGGGCGGGGTTAGGGATTGAGGGCGAAAGGTCCTTCTACTCTCTCCCTCTTACTCTTTTCCACGTTTGTTTTCCTCCGTTCCCCATTTCGCGCCACCGTCCTCTATCCACTATCCACTGTCCACTACGCCTGGAATAGGCTAGTTCATAGTGGGCCAGAGAGTTTTTTTTCCAATGGCGATGCAAGGGATCTATAGATGTCCATTTAGGAGCATTTGCTATTTTTAAAAGCTCATGATCACGCTGCAACTATTCCTGCTTTAGCATTAGTAAAACGCCACTTTTTTCTCTATTTTCCGTTTTGCTGTAGAGGAAAGTTTTTGGTGATTTGTTTTTGATGATGGCGTTTCATCGTCGATGGAAAGGAGTTAAAACGTTTTCTGAAACGTTCGTTACAATGTACCTTTATAAGCGTCATAGTAATACATCCAAACGTACATTTATACTTATACATAATTACTTGAAAACTCGCAAGAAAAAAACGTTGTTCGAATTAGTTAATATTGGTTATCCCTGTCTTAAATTTAACGTATTTATGCCTTTTGACGGATGCTTAAATTATGAAACACACCACTGTACTTGTTCAAAGTTTGTTTTCGTTGGGCTCGGTCGTCGACGTCTTGCCGACGTTGCTCAAAAAAGCCGACTTTTGGGCAATTCTACACTATATATTGTATCCAAACAAAATGACTCTTCTAAATAAGATAAGGTTATTGAAAGATGTAATATAGATTGTATGCTGGAATTCGGCATGTGATCAGTGTTGAATAGAATGTTGAAAGTGAATCTGTCGTTAACACCGCTGGCGTGACGGGCCGTGTCACGCTATTTTTAACCACTGGAATGTCGCGATTTTCGCAAAATTAGGGTTGAACTGGGCGTCTTGCGGGCTACTTAAAATAGTTTGCCCAAACATTTGTTTCGATTTTCTGATATATTTGGGCCTAGTTAAACCGTAGAAAGTCAATTTGCGAAATTCTAAGTTATAGCGCATTATAAAAATTTACATTATTTTAACCCTATAATTTTGAACCGTTGAAATTGTCCATGGGGCCAATTTTTAACAATACCTTTTTGGCCACAAACTTATTACAGCTTTCACAAATTTATCGTCTTATGAGAAAGAAAGGGTCATAAAAACTATTCGTGTTCTTCAAAGGCCGCCAAATCTTTGTAGTTTGATGTACGAGTCAATGAAATTTGTGTAAAATTTCGCTTTACCGGAAGTGGATTTTGAGCTCCGAACGGGCAAAATGAGTTTCCTCGAATTTTAACAAAAGAATACGTTATTTGGGAAAACTAACTACAGCATGTTTCATTACTCATTAAGGGTTATCGATGAGCCAAAAATTAGCGAAATTCGAATTTTCAACTTGTGCCACAAAAAGACGATTTTGGTCGATATTTACAGACAGTCGCTCTTAAATCACCGCATACATTATCAGACCACATTCGATAACAACCAATCAGCGTTAAGTCAAACAATGCGCACTGTGTGTCAGCCTATCACAGTGTGTTCCCAAGATCTTGGGAACCCTGCAGGACGCTGGAACACGATTAGCGACGGCGTTACGCAGACGTCCCTTTTCCGCGTGCAACAAAGGAAATAGGAGACGTCTGCACGCAGGCAAAAGGGAAATTCGTCTAGTCTCAATTGATACGGGAGTGTAATAAAAAACAAACAAGGATTCCCATCTAAGAATTATGGGGATCAACATAATAATGAGGGAGGCCGAGTGTCGTCATTTATAGTGTTGAAATGACCTTACCCTATGGTATATTCCAAAGTAATTTACATGGTCATTGGGGTGAAACTGAACAGCATCAAATGCCCAAAAGGCTGTAATCAAATTTTCTACGATTGTCTCTGTCTTTGCCATCTCGTTATAAGTTTAGGCATAACACTTTGAAACAAATCATTAATTCATTAGTTTTTTGCACTGTTTATTTTAATTCCAGCAAACTTACGAAGGTGCAACAATTTTATTTTCTGTGCACAATATAAAACAGATTGATAATTAGCAAGTTTAGGGGAGAACAGTCGTTCTCGTACAATGAACCAAACAACTACGTACTTAACTTATGAAACTAATAGTTAACATCCAAAAATTAAGTAACTTCACATAAATGACTTTTAAAAGAATTCTTAATTCTAAATCGAATTCTCAGGGATTTTCAATTCGAGCCCGTAAAACTGGACAAGTCAGTAATTGACAAGTAGATACGACTCGCAATTCCTTTCATTTTTCTTCCTACATAAATACGCAAATTTATTTTCTTATACATTTTTTTTGCTACGATTTTAATGCTCTTTATTACTAACATTTTCTCTATCCATGGGTAAGAAATGGCGCAAATGGCCACTTTTCCATTTGAATTTTTTTAGCAGTTCCTTCCTTAATACTAAGATAACTAATTTGGAGAGGTATTGGGCATGCAGCGAAGGGTGAAAAAAAAAATTAAAAGGTTCCATGGGTGCATATTTGAATTATAGGAAAGTATCTCGAGTAAAAACCGTTAATGATGATGATGTTCGAATCATATAAGAAACCAATAAATGACAAGGGCACGCATCCCGCCACTCACTCTTGACAGTTGCATTTGATCAGTGACAGATCCAAAGGGAGGAGAGGTAAGGGGACGAGACCTGTTATACCAGCTTCCTTTTTTATCCACTTCTAGTCCTAGTAAATACTGCAACTAACCATGTACTGAGAAGGGTCATTACTTACACTCCAGTTAATGTAAGAAAACTGATTTTAGAGGAAATGTTATGAATTAAATTGACATTATAATTCAAGCGTTAGCAGCTTCTCGCTTGTCGTGATAATTGTCACACAGTTCAACAGAGGTTCTCCAAGCGTTGATCACGTGCTTTAGCTGCACTTCCGATGGCAATGCGTCCAGTCCTGGCACTGGTTCATGTCCTTTGTTGTCAAGATGCCACTCGATGTATTCACCCAGGCTGAATAAAAGGAGACAAAGCCGTTGTAAGATGATACGCAAATTATCCAGGTCAAATCTAACCACTGGGGAATGGGCTGGAACACAAGCCGAGTTTTGTAAACTGAACTTTATTAGATAAAATATTTCTCTGAATCTTTGGTGTAGCTTCTTATATGATCAATAATAGTAATTAGGGGAGGGAAGGGGGGGGGCAGCGTGGGCGTTGGACTTGCAAACTAGAGGTCTTAGGGTCGAGTACCTCTCTGACCACTATCAAGACTTGCTTCTCGACAGTCCAATATAAAACTTCTCGTTCATGCTGGTAAATAGCCAACTACAGATAAACATTCCACAGATGACTACGTCAACCATAGACACACTAGTGGTAATGGAGGCAATCTCTCCAAAGTTACCTCATTTCTTCTTCTCCGGAGACTGTATCACCTCTTAAGTTTAGCAAAATAAGCTCCAGGACCTCACAGACAAAGCGATCCAAGTCAATCCTTCTCATCCGACTGCTAAACTTCATCAGCTGAGGTCGGGACATTAACTGTTTGTATTTGTCCGAAATCTGCTCAAACGGATCCTGCAAAGGCAATAACACTGAAAGTTAAGTCTTACTTTAAGCATTGCTGTTTACACATCTCTTACAGGATTACAGTACTTAGATCAACAACCGACAAAATTCCGTGCCCCACTCGACCAATCAACAGTAAAACTTATATCAATTGTCGCATCATGATACTAAGCAAGTGTAAGTAAGCTCTCTATTTCGAGTAACGAGCGAGGCGAGTCGCAAGAGATTGCGTGGGCGAGTGGCAAAGCCCCGTGCCCTCGCGCCTTTTTTCGCTACCCGCTCGCGCGCGACTCCTAACAATATTCCCCAAATACAGAGCTTGTTCTAAGCTACTTTGGGTCTGATATCGTATGTATATACAGTCTTAGAGGTCTGATTGGTCTAATTGGCTATTTGCGTTTGTTTCGATTACACGGAGTAACTACTTTCTCGTTTATTATACGACACTCAAGTAAGAAGTCGCTTTTAAGTCTCCTTGTTTTCAGTTTTGTTTTGATGAGAAAGTTGATAATTCCTCAGCTGAATGTTGTTACGAAGTCTTTGCGAATGTCGTGCAAAGGTTAAATTTAAGTTAGAGTTGGAAATATAAAATATTCCTTACCTCGCCTCGCCTTATAAGAATTCTGGCTCTCTCAAGGGTGAGAAGTCGCCAGAGAGAGATCACGTGACGTAACTGACAGTACTGCTGGGCCTGGAAGGGAAAATAGAAGAAAAAAGACACGTAGAATGTATTGGATTCAACCCAGGAGGAATCTGTTGGAAGCAGAATACGCGGAGTGATATGCATTCGAAAGGGAAAGGGGAAGAGGAAAATCGGGCACACAAACGCGAAGGTTGCTGCAAAAGTCAATTCTTTACTGTACAAACTTAACTTGAGTTGTAGCTACAATTTATACCTTCAAACTCCGTAGAGTGTTTTGTTGCATTCGTAGCACCCCTCCTAGATAGTTACTGAGGAGCCTTTCAGGGGTTCCCCCAGTGGAAGATAGAAAACCAATGGCAATGTCCAAAGATGACAGCACGTCACAGATGTCAGTCAGGGAGCGAAACTCGCTTATGACTTGACGGCTTACTGCTGAACTCAGAGGAACCTGAGAAAGACAAAAATATATCCGTAGTTTAACTGAATCTCACAGTTCTTTAGAGTGCCTCTGGTCATTGATATTACGACAATTAACACTGATGCATAGACTACATTCAGGTCCTAATATATTTGAAGATGAAGGTGCCTCGTTCGCTTCCAATAACTGCAAAAAAACTGAGTACTCAAGTGACTATGAATGTACTTTACAATCGAGGGATGTGTCATGCGGGGTAACAGTTTCTCGTAGAATTAATTTCAATGTCGTTATACTCCTAGAGGCTAGTCTGCAGGTTAGCTCTAGTACACTAATAAGAATGGCTTTACCTGAGGAACTTTAGCCTTTACGGCAGCAAAGACAGAGTCCAGTTGGATATCTTTACTGAATGCAAACCTCTCATCCTACAATAAAAATTGAACAACTTGGGCTTTTAAAATCAAGTATAATAAATAGAAAATGGATCAGCAACAATGAACGCTAAACACTACACTCTTCTTTGAAGTAAATGAGAGTAAGTACGGGACCATGAAAACCTTTTTTGCGAAAAGAAATATATATGTGAGTCATTAACTTAATAAAGAAATATATAAATAATGAATAAAGGAGAAATCTGACGAAACAATTTGACCGATATGCCAGCGCGCCACACGTGCACACTTGAGGTCCCAAAGTAGTCTCCTCCGAATATTTTGAAAACTAGAACCGGGGGGTGGGGGGGGGGGGTATCACGGCACGGCTCCCAAAGTCCAACCCCTTTTTTCTCTTGGTACATAGATTTACTGACAAGCAGCTGTGTCTACTGAACGAAAGTCTGCAATTGCTCCCATGAACATTCACCGTGACCGTGATGCTGTCATTGTCAATTTATTTTTTCTTTCTTTTCTTTTTATTCGCTAATCCTCTTGTTGACAGTTTGAGAAATGAGAATCCTAAGAAAAAAGTCCCAAAAATTGTTCTTCTACAGGTGACATACGCAATCCATCTGAATTGCATTGCTGTATAATTCAACTTTCTAAGCTTGAGTGACAATTTCAGACAAAACGGTTAAATAGGCCTTTGTAGAGTTGTTTGACGGCCGCGGTAACGAATGCCTCTGCTGCAGTTTTTTTTTTTTACAGTGTGGACCAGTCTGATGTGGAACGTTTCAGTGTTGTTCTTTAGAAAATGTGGTTTGACAACCCGATCGAAAATGATTAAATTTAAGGATTTATAGGGAACGCTGTTTACGTCAATGATTATAGGGAAAATTAGCACACAGAGATTTCTCAATATAAACTCAACAATCGCTTGTCAATGGATTGGTCTCCCCAATCTTTCAATCTAAATTCTACGTGGAAACTCCACAGTTTACCTTGAAATCAACAAGAGTTCTTCTCCTGATAAACCTGTCAATCAGCTGTCTTTCTAGTGCATCCCAGTTGTACTGTACCAACGTTCCCCGACCCACCTCCAGAGAGTAGTTGCATTGAGCCAGGATGAGCGGAAGTAGATCTCTGTCAGTGTCATAAGCAATCAGTTGTGATGTGGTTACGTCTTGTAGCTGTATGTGAGGCAGGTCTCTAAAGATCAAAAAGGGCAAATGGTGTTAGTAGCCGTACTAACCGCAAAAATATTCAAACATTTACCTGTTTCTCGGCACGGTTCCAGGATGGAAACTTCGTTTTTTATTGTAGATACTCGAAATCTATCGAGCAACAGTTTTTTTGCGTATTACTCGGCATTTCTTCTGTTCAGTTTTAGTTAGAAATTCGGCTATTTTGTCTTTGGATAGCCGTGAACGCTCTTTTTTTTCAGTTCACTCAGGCATAAACAGCTTGGCTGCCATGCACTACAGCTCTGCACAACTGAAGCGGCTTCTGTGTGGAAACGAGGCTGCTAGCAATATACCATAGAAGCGATAGGTTATTGCCTACATTTTTCAAATATGGTTAGCGCCGGCTGGTTATGAGGAGGATTGGAGCCAATCAGAAACGGCGAAATATTTTGAACAAATAGAATTAAATTGAAAATAACAGCTCCAGAGGAGAGGGAGGATGAGTAACAAGGAAGGTACTTACTTTACTTCTCCGCCAGTCAAATTCTGGTACCGTTCGTTAAACTCGTTATGCAACATCGTGAGAAAAAATACGAGAGCCGTGGAGCAGATGCCTGACCCAGACGTACTGGGCAGAAGTACTGCAAGAGGACGCGAATTATCCATGGACATCTCGCATAAATCTCTTGGAGGACGAAGGCGACCTGTTTAAATAAAAGGATTGGTTAGCGATAGATCCGGGGGGGTTACTCCCGGAAATTCTTGGTGGGAGTGTGCCGCCCGGTTCTCCAAATCTTGACCCTATTTCAAACCAAATAATGTCATTTTTCACACCCGTTCTCAGACCTGGTCTCTAAAATCTACACCCATTCTCAGACCTGGACTTACTTAGATTAGAACAGCAAAAAAAACGATTTCTTAAAATCCATTTCAAAATATTTATCAAGTTGAGCGTTTGCATTTCCTTATAAAACAGAGAGTAGCGCGAAAGCTTCGATCTATAGATTTTCTTAAGTTAAATTACCTTTGTATCGTGGAAACAATACCCTATAACACTTGAGTCTTGAATCAAAGGACGCGACATGCAGCGGCTTCCTTTGTGAGCGCGCAAACAGTCATGGGACCCGCGATTTTGCGGGCGACACGGATCTACAGGCGCCGTTCCGTAATGCGAATTGGCATATTTCTCTTTCTTTCTTACTCAATTGGAATTGAAACAATAACTACGTTCGTGTCCTCCCGCAGTTCCCTGAAAACCATACCCGACTCCAGACCAAAACGAGCAAAGTCTATACCCGTTTTTAGACCAAAACGGCGCAAAACCCTACCCCTTGGGGCGGTACATACCCATATGGCTTGTATAGGAGAGTAATCTCCGGGCGTTAGATGAAGTTCATTTTTGCCTTACGGGAGTGCCTGTTTAACGTAAGTGTCTCAATCCAGGGAAAACCACTAACAGAGAGGCCGCCATACTGGGTCTACGCCTAACAGGGGAAGCCCGCCCATCAAAAATTACATTCCGATACGGGTTCTTTTCGCAGGGATTCTCCCTATAGAGTGGATACAGTGTTTCCGCCCATGGCTTTTAATGTTTCCTCGTCTAAAATTCAAGAGTCGAAACTGTCCAATAAGATTTAAATTGACAGCTGTCCCTTTGTAAGGATCTGTAAAATAAAACTTAATCTTCATAGCGCAAAGATATAATCATCACCTTTCGTTGTTTACAACGATCAAGTTCTTCTCTGAATGCAAGAAACATCGACGCTAGCTTCTTACGAGGGATATTAAAGGGTTAGATAGCAAATCTAACTCGCTCCTGCAATTCACAAAATTGTGATTTACTAGAAAGTAAGGCAGACTGACAGGTCTAAGAGACATACCTTGCTGGTCAAGACTCAGTCTGACGTGATTCCACGCATTGTTAAAACTCATTATCAGGGAAGTGAGTTCATCTTTAGTTGTTTCTGTGGAGAATATTACGAATTAACACCAACCAAAAAAATTCCAGCGCGATTTTACTGGCTATTTTATACAACCTACGATTTTTCAGTCGCGGCAAAGAATAAAAAAGTTTTCATATGTTTTACTTTCTTAATTCAAATTGAATTAGGAAAACCAAACTCGTTTTGTTCATACAAATAAAAGAGAATCAACAAAATATTCTACGGTGTTATGTTTTTGAAGACGAACAAAAGGTACCGAGATATTGTTATCTGCATGGACAATATATGCGAACAGTTTCATAACATGAAGCCCTCTCCGTGATAAAATGGCGCAGTGGAAAATGCCTTTTCACATACTGCCGGAATTCGAAAACCCGTGAGGTATCATTTAAGGGCCTGTTTTCATGGCGGTTGGGGACCCCAGATAGGTGAGGTAACATGTGGAGGGTCACCCCACCTAATTGAAATGAGAGATTATATGGACATGCGGGTTACCCCACCTAAGCGGGTTACCACACCTACCTGGGATCCCCTACGTCCATGTAAACAGGCCCTAAATCACGATGAAATGCTTTGTTACGTGTAAACAATAGATTCACATTGTTTAAAAAAAAAAAACAAAGTAGCAAAATACTCAAGTACTAAGTTTGTTATCACGCATCATGTTAAAACCGAATAAGAACGTTTAAAGCTTCATTCACCGATGTTTTTCTTTGTGATACAAACTAGCCCTTCGCACCCTGAAGCATGGCTATCATATGAGACAAAGGAAATCCAAAGAAAATAGTCCAATTCAGTTGAAATAAAAAACATAATAGTAAGTATTTTGTTCCTGTTTCTATCGCCAGGAAAAAACAGTGATTATTAGAGAGTTTAAGCTTCACGCATACGGCAAACGGCAAATTGAGAATTTCTCAAAATAGAAAATGAGCAGAGAAAAACAGCTCAGAAAATTCTTCTTAATAAAAATTTGCGTGAAACTAGTAATTTATGTTTAGAAATAATGAACAGTAGGCGACAAGCAAAGGGGAAACTTGATCACGTGGTTCAAATTCGCGTTTGCCGTTTGACGTAAACGTGGTTCGTAACCTCCCTATTATTAGTTGCCATGCCTTTATTGTTAGGTAATCTCATATTTCGACAATTAACTAACTAGAAGGAATCTTCTTTAGGAAATTTCGGATTGTGATATGCTCTGCTTCTGCCCTGTCGATTCTGCGGTGGAACTTTTCCATGAGAAGACGCTGCAGCTTAATGATATCTGGCAAAAAGCGGAGGGCACGGAGATTGTGTTCCTAAAAAGGAGAAGAAAAGAGATGACCATTATTTCTAAGTATTGCATTACATCAATTGGCATCCGGCATTATCCCCGAGTACAAAGTTACATGGTTTATTGAAAAGGGTTTAAATTGATTCAAAGGGGGCCTAGACAGTTGGGCATTGTTTTTATTGCAGCCTGTGAAAAGGTTTTAAAGTGGGATACAGGACAATGAGAAAGCTAGCTTCCTCGGAGGACTGTTCACAGACTACTTTTATTGCTGCAAGGTGCCACACTGTTATTTACTTATTACTTTGCAGCCGTTGATTTCAATGACAAAATCGTATGGTGTTAGGAAAACCAGTTAAGTACAGGGGCCATGTCACGCTATTTGCTATAAAACACTAAAACTTGTCTTGGTAACAATTGAATTCATTCAACAATTGAATGGTCCTGTAAAAGTTTTGTTATTTAAGACTAGATTTAAGATTTGGGCAATGGAACTGTTTCCTGTTGTCCTTTGTAACGGATGGCAAGGAAGGTGAAACTCATTGAAAAAGTTGGTCCAACTTTTTCAATTTTCAATGCTATGCCTGTAAAATCAGCGAAAAGTTATTGTGGTTTAATAGTGCTCCCTGATGACACTTATTTGGTACCTTCTTCATAACTCCTCAGGAGCATTTCGTGTATGAGAAAAGTCACTAAATAAAGACTTGAACAGCATTGACCTAAGACAGCAATATCCTATTAACAAAGCTCCTTAAATGCAACCTAACTTGCACTCTCACCTGTCGTAAAAACTCCGCTAACACTTTGTTCCTCTCGGGATCGGTGGAGGCCACCTCTTGTTGAAAGGTGTGTGACAGGTGATCGAGAGTCACCTGAGTTCGATATCTCCACAGCGCAGGACAAGTAGGCGAGATACTCACAGACAGATCATCAGGAGGGGTGTCTACCTCATATAGCTGGCGCATCAGGGGGTTGTTGCCTGAAAGAATCGCAACGAAAACTTAACGCTAAGGGGTTTTCTGCCTTTAAAACTACACGACGCGGAATCACATAATGTTTTCTATATGGAAAAAACGGATTTTAATAAAACAGCTTATGAAAATGTAAATTAACTAAAACAACTGAAATAGATATTAAAGTACACGAAGACCCGGTTACATTTATCGGACCCACGACATTACAGTTACCGGTTGCAAGCTCTATCCACTGAGCTATGAGTGACTCATATAGTAGCAGGACGTACGCTTGGGGTAGTCACAGGACTTCGCATGTAACGAGAACAGTGGACACTAATGTGATAGATGTATATCAAATAAATCATACAAGAGCTGCGGAAATGAAATCAAATGAAGAACGATCCTCGCAGTTGTGGCACTAATCAAAGGCAAAACACTCACCAAATTACTTGTATCTTGCAAGCAAACGATATGAGTTGTGTTAGTTATAGATTTAGTGACTGCAGTGGGTGTTGATTCACTAAATCTATTCAGTGTTTACAACTCTTATTTTAGGTGCTTGCGACATGCAGGTCTTTAGCTTTGCTCGGATTAGTGCCCTATGTCCTCTTGAAATGCGAAGTCCTGTGACTACCTCCAGTGTTCGTCCTGCTTTACCTAATCCCTAGGCCTCATTATTTCTCGCGGCCAATGCATTTCGGGTCACGTGGTCCAAGCAACGTCACCGAATTGAATTGACACAGAGAGCTTGGGAAACGCCGTACAGGGGCTAGGCAACGTCCTGTTCACTATATGAGTCACCCATAGCTCAGAGGGTAGAACCTCCAAACGGTGACTGGAAGGTCGTGAGATGGATTCCGGCTGGGGGCCTGGATTTTTTCTGAGCATTTCTTCGTATACTTTAATATCTACTTCAGCTTCATCGCATTGGGTGGTTAGTTGGTTCACTAAAAGTATAAACTAAACGCAAAAATATAGATAAATAAACAAATGGTTAATTAATTAATGTACACGAGGAAATAACACGTAAAAACGTACCTAGTCGATTGTCTCCAACCATCATTTCCAAGCAATTTTGGATCTTTCCCTCGAGGTTCTTAAGAAGTGAGAATCAAATTAGAAAATCCAAAAGCATCAAAATGATATCATTTTTTACTATATTATTACAATAAAGTAAAGTCCGCATACCGTAAGCACTGGAGCCACCACACTGTTGCTGAACGCTGTTTCCCATTCTCTTCGAGAATCTTTCGACCTCATATCAGGGGTGACATTCACGACTGGTTGTCCTAAAATAGATGAAAGAAATCTTAAAACGGGTAAAAGATTTCTTCGTGTGATGCGAATGCCTCTCTTGCATGACACATAGACACTTGACCCGTAGGAAGCTGCAAAGTTTATTTTCTAATAACTCAAGTTGATTGAAATAAGAAGTGGTTATTTCTTCTCTTTGCCAAGCTCTTTTCAAATGTCGCTGGATTTTTCGTCATCCCTTGGTCTCTTCCAAGAATTCTACGGATTTACTGATGCCCCCTCCATGTTTCAAAGACTGGTGTTTTAAAAAAGCCCGCCAGAACTACTCTAAATTTAACGGATGTCGTATTTTTAAAAAGTTTAGTCTGTTAAGTATTTAAATGTTTCAGTTGCCCATATTATTTATATGCTTTCTGTGCACTTTTAACACAAATAACGTGGACATTTTAGGTCCTTGAAAAGGGAGAACAAAATAAGTCTCGACTTAAAAGCTATTAAAGTGATGCGTAAGATGCGTAAGCTAACTCCGAATAGACCCGCGTAAGTGCGAATACGTGTACTCAACGCAGTCATTTATCGCATTTACCATTTTGAATATCCAGTTTAACTTAATTAACACAAGTAACGTTAGGTAACCCCAATTTAGGCACAACACAAAACCTTATGATCCCTTAGCCATGGTATGGTTGTCATTTTTGGTCTGTGCTTTTCAACTTACGGTTAGAAATAAGCGCGGTCATTTGCACAAGAACCATGTGAACGCAAAGAACTGTATCATCTACACTTCTTCCAAGGCTTTTGGCGAGAAGCTGTAGGTCCATCTGGAGGTGATCCCATAAAAACTGCGCCAAGGCGGCGGGGGGAACTGTGGGATGGATGAGGGCACCCAAACCCTAAACAGGGACACAAAACAGGGATAATGAGAAACAAGTTATCCATTCATACTATCATAAATATAACGGCAGTCAATGTTTTACTCCCTTCTAGATGACTGGCATTCACATTTGATTTCATTTGATTTTAATTTCGATAAAAGGGGCCTTGCTTAACTGGGTAATTCTAGTAACATTGTATGTATCAACAACGCCTCGAAAATATATGAATCCAGATACTAAATAACGAAATGCGAAAATTGCTTAATTATTTGTCAGAAGTGACGAGCTAAACGGATTAGTCTAGGAAGGGATTTGAAAGCAACTAAAGAAATAGTCTGCTTGGCCTCTAAAGTTTCAGGACATTTCATGAGACAGCTTCTAACTGCTCCTCTAAAATAGAAGCTTGTGTTGGCCTTTTTCAACACTGCCCTTACAACTCAAGACATAAAAAGCGACTTTTAATCACCTGTGGTTGGCAGCAGGCTCCTTCTATCATAGCACAATGCATAAGAACCCTTGTGACGCCCAGAACTACAGGCGAAAGGTTTCGTTCAGGAACCAGACCTTTGGCCCTTTTACTGGGATGACCAAGAAGGTGGCCAGTCATTGTGCGGTCAGCACTACAGAACAAGAATAATATACTTGTAAAAAGACGTTTCACGATCAATGTGATGAGTCGATTTGAGTAAACTAATTTCCGATGTGTCTGGTTAACCCACTATATGACAAGCCAAATGAGCATCGCACTTTATCTCTGAAGGTCAGGATTCTACCCTTAGTGGTAACCCGGCAACCAGTTGGCTCGTCAGATTAGCGTACATCTACCGAGCGGAAGGCAGCGGGTTCAAACCCCGGCCGGACCAAGAGACAGGGTCTTTAAATAACTGAGGAGAGAGTGCTGCCTTTGTCATGACATCTGCAAACGGCTGGACTTTCTAGTCTTCTCGGCTAAGAAGGATAAACCATAAACCCCGTTTTTGTGGGACGTTAAAGAACCCGCACACTGTTCGTAAAGAGTAGGGGATGTGGTCCCTGGCGTGGTGGTCTATCTCAAAGTCACTTTAAAATCAGGGGACATTCATAAATTATTGCTTAATTAATTATAAACTGCGCATTAAGCGGTCAGGAAAAATTCCCCTCCCAGTGTCGCTTATGCTGAAAATAGTGGTAAGCTCCACGCAGCCGTGTTATCTGCAACCTTTTACCAAGGACCAGATCCGGGCAATTTCGGAATACCGCGATTACCTTGAACCCAACACTTCGCTCAAGGATTTACGCACGTCGTTAGGCTCTTTTTAGTTCCTGACATTTTCTGTTCATTTACATAAGGTCGACGCGGAAAGGATAGCGATAACGATACAAACCTCTGAGCTGTGGTATTTCCTCGAGAGAGATTGTATCCGGTACCACCGATATTCACTTTACACTCAGGACAAACCTTCACTTCCACAGGGCGGCCACACTACAAGGTAAGGAAACAGGATCACAGAGAAAATAAAACAATACACATATCTAAGGAACATGAGAAATACTCAGTTGCCCGGTATGGAATCCGGTCTCACAGCGACCACCAGGACCAAGGGAACCTGGCAGAACATTGTTAGGAGAAAGAGAAACTTGTGATTTTACAATTATGTAAGTATAAGCCATGAAAACAGATATGTAGAGTTGGTGACCACGGTACAAGTCTTGTTTTAAACTTGTAACTGAACGACAGTAAAAAGCGTCACTTACGTCTCCAATGTAGTAGGGATGTCCTTTGGGACACTCTGCAACAAAATAACACGGGAAACCAAGTTCATTTCAGCAAACATTGCATTGTCTACAACTATCGACGTACTTGTATTCAGAAGTCGAACATCCCTGACCTTTGTTCACGAGCATCTCCAGACTAAACCTCTTTATAAATCATTGACGAAAATACAAGAGACTGTGCTTTCCGCTCAGTTATTCTCGGCTCAAACTCAAGGTTTTGAAGCCGACTGATACCAGTCGGCAACGCCTCGAATTTTTGAACTGACAGAAACAGAACACCCCTACTTTTGCTTAATATGCTTTTAAAAGGAGCAACCTTTGGATACCAACAACACCAACACGCGCAATAATAGCTGACAATTCACCAAACTACAGATGGCAACGTCACGTTTCAGTAGCGTTTGCGGTTTTGAACGCGAGGTAGAGAGAAAGGTTCCACGTAAGTAATTGAGTCGTATATTTCCATGTTACCACGTAAACAAGTAAATGTTTTGGGGAGCAAGTCTTTCATGTTCAGTAATGTCAAAGAGCAAATATTGACCTTATTGATGATGCTGTTCGATGCCGATGCTGATGCCCATTCGGGTGGTATGTTGCTTTCAGTGGGTTTCTCTGCACGAGAAACAGCTTGTTATCTTATTTATTGTGATCTTCCTCATTTTTTGCTAGTCATGCTGTTCACGCTATTTTTTCTTAAAATGCCAGTTATGAACCTGCAGTATCACGTCATTCGTGTAGTAAAGGCGACAAGCCTGGTACTATGCTAACTGCCTGCACAACGTAAATTTACCACCGTGATACTTACGATACCAGGTTCCACTCTCTCGCATTCCCGCCATTGCTTCTTGCAGATTGTCATCAGGCATTGTGGGTAGGTATGCGTTCTAAGATACAAAATGATGGCCATGAAGATTGGGAGAACGCGCAAGCGATGTTTTCGCCGCCTTCACTGTGCTCGGTTCTCCAGTGCCCTATTACCTCAATAGGTCAATTGCACGTGACGATGACGTCATTTTACTACAACTACAAGAATCCTTCAGTTTGTTGTTTTCTTGTGCAATTTAGGGCTATCATTTTCTAAACCTGTGCGGGATTTACAGAAATTTAAGAAAGAAAAAAACGAAATGGAGTCAAATGTCGTCATCGTGAAAATGGCCCATTGGACAAAGCAGTGCGTATGGTCATCGGTTTCGAACTCTAGCCCAGCCTGCATTTTTCACGTTTTTTATTTCAACTTCATCTTAAAACTGCGAGGAGCAAATCTTTTACATTCATTTTACTTGCGATTCATATTTTGCATTCTGACAATCGGTAGGAACCGTCCTTCAAGAACAAAAAAAAAAAAGAAAAGCGAAAACAGAACTGTACCATTAAGGCCGCAGGATTATCCATCAGCAATCGCAGTGGTTCGCAAATGGTCACGTGATTAATGGTCTGAAGCACAGTCGTAGTATGAATTACAAGCTCTGACAAATTCTGCTCTAAGCCTGAGCGACCAGGCCTGACTCGAACACTGGGAATGCCTTGGGCACCTTGTGTATTGTCGAGAAGTTGAGCGGCAAATGATTGGATCTGTAGAAAGCAATACACCAGAAAGTGAGGATAAAGAAGCAAACAGCAACAACAAGACAACTCTCACAGCCTAACCACAAAAGAAAGGTGGGAAGAAAGGTAAAAAAACTAGACCACAAAATTTCCGCTAATGGGATGGAAAAGTTTAAAAAAAGCCACCATATGTAGAAACAGATCTTGGGATATTATCCAGGTCTTTGAAACGATTAAACAACTGAAGGAAGGGGATCGTATTCATAAGCTCACCTAAGGTATCATTGAGACCGAAAGCCTCTTTCTGAGAAATAATATTTGGGCATAAATCTCATCTTAGAAGTTCAATTTCTCCGACTTTAGATTTTCGTTTAAGCTTACAGATCGCAAGCTCTCACTCTATGACTTACATTTCCAGACAAATCTGTGCCCCCTTGTATGAATTCCTGAAGACACTGGTGGGCCTGTTTTAGCAAAAAAGGAACAAACTTTTACGTGGATACAAATACTCGTTTCATTTAGTTTGACGAAAACGACGTAAGAAACATGAAGCAAAATGCTTTATTTTCTAAAACTTATTAGTTTGTACCCAAAAAAGCACCAGCAGTCATCCTTTAAACCTCGGGGCTATTTATAATAAGACTCAACCTTGTTCGAGCTAGAAAGTTGTTTTCTTCATTCTCACTGCAGCTGCTACCAGCACAGATCCAATTTGTACTGATTTTACAAAACTAAAGGTCAATCAGATGAGTGGGATAAAAACAGTTTTCGGGGCCAAAAACATGTATCTGGGAGAAAAGAGAAACGTACGTAACGTGAAATGATAATGGTATCGAATTTATCGATATTATGCCCCAGCTATATTTTAATAATTTAGATTTAAACTAAATTTTGTGAATATGACTGAGGCATAACATCGAAAAATACGATATCCTTATTGCGTTATATTTGTTTTCCTTTCCTGGAACTCGTACCTTAGTGGAGAGACGACGTTCTTTGCCAGTAAAGCCATAGCATGTGGTAACTTCACGGAATAAAGACAGCAGCAGCATAACCTCTCTTACAACGTTTGGTATGGCAACGGACTGAAATTTTGCCACAAGAAACATGGTGTGAGTCTCACAAAGGGTGAAACTATTTTTTTTTATTTTATTTTTCAGTCACAGACAAAAGAGCCACGCCACTCATAAACTACGGGGAGATCGGGAAAAAGCTCTCGGCGCAAAGATTTCAGGGACCGTTTTTGGGTGGACAAGCGTTAATTACGATCGATCCATGGCTATCCAAAGACGACCATTGACTAATAACTGCTTACGTTGGCTTGTGTGATGTCGTCACCTATTACGATTAGCAAACTCAAATACTTTGGTTTTGGATTCAGAACTTCCAACTGAAGCACACTCAACAGCAAAATAAAAAGTTCAGAAGGTAAAATAGTTGATAATGTTAAACTAAAGTACTTCAGGATTGTTTATACCTTCAGTGCGTCAGTCAGCTCTCTGTTTGTTCCACCAAGCACTGTTTTGGCCATGGCTTCTCTGATCTTCTTGTATTCTTCTCCATAAATCACGAACCTATCAGGAACATTGTCTTCGTCCTGGAAAACAATCAATCAAACCAGCAAACAAATAAACACCAACAGAAAAGATCTTTCAAAAGTAGGTTGAGTTTGATCGTCCGGGTGAACGTAGTCCTAAATAGGACTGTTGTTATTGACAGTGACTGACGTTTCGACAATCTGTGCGGTAGTCATCTTCAGAGTCAAAGTGAGTTGTATCACGTCAGTTGATGGTATTATACTCTAGTTATTGATCTGATTGGTCAATTACGTCGCGATGTTATTGGTCATCTGTCAGTTAAGCCGTGATGTTATTGGCTATGAAGACTCGTAATCAGTAATTGGTGCGTTTTGATCCGTCTATTGTCACAGTTAAACAGCCGTCTATTGTAAGTCAAATTTCGACAAATTGTCAGTTCTCCAGTCGTTCTCTCGTAGTTACTTTTGCTTGATCTCGTCAATAAGTCGTTTGTACGGCGCTGGTAACTGTTGGCTACGATTCAGTGGCGTTTGTTCTAAGTTAGTAAACCAGCTTTCTAAAGTAAGACGTTGATAGTAGTCTGTAGTATACGTTATACATGTCGCAGAGTCCCAGAAAAGACACCACGTAATACATGTCGCAGAGTCCCAGAAACGATCTTGTGAAGTAAACTCACGCGGACTCGTAAATTTCAACTTTTCTAGATAAGGGCCCAAAACCCTTTACACAGCTGATATGTGGAAATCGAAATCACAACATCTTGAAAAATAGGCATTACCGACAAAGAAATTAACAAACAAGCAAACAACAATTTGCTAAGTAATATTTAGCATCGTACTCAGGAGGACCTTCGCATGAACTGTAAAAAGCAAGTTAATCACCCCGTCACGGCTTTTCGAGACATTCTCGCTACTCTTTCCGAGCAGAGCATGGGTTCTCTGAAGTCCCCATACAATTTTTATATGCCTGAGCAAGGCGGTCCTTATCCGAGAAGCCACTTGCAGATGTCACAACAAAGACAGCACATTCCGATCCTGTCAGTCATATTAAGATCCTGAGTGTTGGATCGGCGCTTACTAATTTGAGCTAATCGTGTGCTATGTGGATCACGTTTCAACAATGCTTATAATACACACATTTTTATACAATTGCAAGAGTCAGTTGGCGCCGGCTTTGTTTATCCAATTTCTACGAAAATATTGCATTGTCACGTGGTTGCAATATGGTAAATTTTCCACGTTTTTTAGTTCAGAAGCCTACTATTCAAATGTTTCAAATCACAAGTAAGCTGAAAGGTTCCTAGGTTACAGACCAAGCCGTGTAATGGGCGAAAACTACCTCACCAACCCTAAATCGCGGAATTAAAGTCAAACAGAAACCGAGGTTTTCTACCTTCTTGTTTCTGCTCTCAGGTGGTACAATCCACTCAAGCTCCTTCCTACCACACAGCACATGAATTGTCTCCACACCAAACCTCCTTGCCAACTGTTTCAGGAGGAACAGTCGGGGAGCTGGGCTTAAACTCTTGTAACACAGTCTTCTTGCAGTTTCAAAGAGAGTCTCCAATTCCATCTTTATCTGGCGGTCATTCCAAGGCTCTGTGTTTTCTACAGTGCTCTTGTACATATATTCGGCAGTCAGTGCTAAGGTGTAACGCGCCTTTGCAACGCCTTCCAGCACATCAACATCAAGTTCTCGAGTGGGACGAAGTGAGCTTGAGATCAGCAACGGCGTACATTCATTAGAAAGCTGTTGTGCAAGTTTTATCATCACCAGCAGAATATCCGAGGTTTTAGAATACTGACTGATGAGAGAATCCTAAAAGAACATCGTAATGAAGATGTGAGATGCAAGGTAATGTAAAGCTATGTTCATGCTTAAAAACTCATTTGAAACTTGTGATATCCATAGAAAGGAAGAGAAGCAACCTAGAACAGAAAATCAACTTGACCTTTTATAGTTGAAGTGATCTATTGCCAGACGAAAAAATTGGGAACGCTTTAACACCTAGTTAAATTGAAGACTGATGGCGTAGTGGTTAGACTACTCTCCTACCACCAATGCATGCCATGCTCAATTTAGCCCGGTCTAGACTAAATTTCCGTTGGTTCTATTCCATCCGTTCAGTGATTTTTCCTCATAAACTTAGGAAGAACACAAACGTAAGCGTGCTTTTTTGTTTTTGCCAGGCTTCTTTCAAACCATGAACGCATTTTGCAGCGCATGGGGATTCGTTGGCATTCCGCACGGCATGGCATTCTTTGTCTTCTTACATTCACCTCGAGTTCTAATTTCCTCAATGCAATGACTGTTGGCAATTATAAGCGTACTGAGAGTACTATACTTTTCAAAAAGGCAGTAATTTAAAAACTTCTCTCATGAAAAGAGATATGTTATTCATGAACTTGTCTTGCTTCGCCACGACTAGCTTTCCAGCTATACGTGGGGCAAGCCATTCAACTGCTTGTGCATGCAAACAATAAAACTGTTGTCGTTGTCTTGAATTCAAAGTTTACCTCCCAGCAGTGTACAAAAAGCTGACAGACTTGCAGCAGATGGCCAATCTCTGGTTTCAGTCCTCGAGCCTTCGTTAAATAGAGCGACAAGTGCTCCTTGACTTCCTTGTCACTAAGCAAAAATCATGCAAACCGGTTATATATAATAATAGAGAGTTTCCTGCTGAATATAAGCCGCTGCCAAACATACTAACCAAAGTAGTTATTACTTTTACGAACTGTTTACATTTCAAAGAAGGAAGGGATAAGTGTGACGTTGATACGGAAGGAGAGATAGTCGGTTAGGCTACGCAGAAGTTGTCTAATTTCTGCGTTTCAAGCCAACTTATAAAACAGTGTCCTCTCAAAGCGACTTGGCAAGTAAATAAATACCGTAAACAGCCTTTTATAAGCCCCTCCCTCTCCCACCCCCTAGTAATAGGACCGTCTACCTGTAAGCCCCCCTCTAGCTTATATTGTTAAAATTCGATTTATTATGACCTTTAAGTTTAATCAAAAACCACTGCAAAACGTATTTTGATCACCACTGCAATAGCTTGTTTCGTTTTTCTATTCCTGTTTCCTGTTACAAGCTCCTCCATTTATATGCCCTCTTATAAACCTCTTACGAACAAGAATAAGCCCAATATGTGAAAATAGTGTTTGCTTGAAAATTAATCCTGCATTAGTGTTCACCAACTCATGAACCACTGGCCAATGGAATTTTTTCTATAAGTAAAACAACAGATTCTTTCATGACCCACCTTGTCCTTAGTAGTTGCTGTAGAAGAAATGACAGGAGTTGCATCAATACCATGCTCAGGGAAAGGAGAGAAGTCTTTCGTTTTTGAACTAGCAGCTTCAATCACGTAACTCATGAACATGTCGAACAACTCAGGGTCCATTACACCTTCACCATCTTCAGCACCAAAACAAAATAATGAAACAAGCTCCATGAAGAAAGAGTTACATCGGCGACGGAAGTCGTAGTGTTCTTTGACAGCTTTCCTGGAATTGATTTAAAAAGAAGAATTTTCCAAAACGAACTTAATTCTTTTTAAAGGAGTCTCTTTCCGTAAATAATTCCAGGAACAAACGTGTTCAAACTGAAATGAGTTGTAGCTGAACGACATCCTAAATTAAAAGTGAACAATTGCTCCTTAATCGACTAAGAAGGTAACGAAATATTGAGTACTGAACACCGGCCATAGGACAGATTTGTCGATTTAGTGGCGATGTTATTGAAATATTGGTCCTCTCAGTCACCAAACTCAAGAGGCGCTTTTCGAACTTTCAGTCATAGTTGTTGATGTTTGTTAAGTGAGTTTCATGTTACTTCTGCAAGATCTTGTCAATATGCTTTTATGAGGTCACCCAGAACCACGGGCTTCAAACCCGGGAAAATGATGTAAGCTGTAAAATTAGCTACACTTTCAGCAGCAAGGTAAGACAAGTTTCGTATTTCCTTTGTTACAGGTGAGCCGTTACACGCAGGTTGCCAAGTTTGCAACTTTCTGTCTTCCACTCTCCACTGAGAAACTAACCACTTTAAATAAATACATTGTTGTTGTTGTCCCAAGCACAAGAATAGAGAATGTTTTTATCTCCAATATCCATATACAAATTCTCTAAAACGATCTCTCCATACAGTTACTTGAAGAGTCAAGAGAATTTGTGTAAACATCAATGCATTCTCCCTTGGTTGATCATTTATTCTCATAACCTTCTCTCTTCAATAAGAATACTTTAATAAAAAAGTTACTTTTCTTTTCCGTCATTTTAGGTTTTAAAACCGTAAAATCTCATATCACGAAAAACATGCTTCCCTCGCGCATCGCCAACAAGTGACAGTTTTACACATACTCGTACCTCGTATAGCGTTTACTGACAGCCTCGCTACAGTCGACAAGAAACTTCTCAATGACTCGCATGGTGTGTGGCTTTGCAAAGTCTGTATCCTCTCCCAAGGCCTGTAAGGAGAGTGTTTTTATTAGACAGTAATTCTAATTCTCGATATTTCAGACATGCAGGAGCAAGAGGAAAACTATGTCTGGGAAAACCAGTTATGGTAGTCCAATGACAAGAATCAGATCTAAACTCTCAGTGTTTACAACTTCATGGAACACTCCTGCTAGTTTCAAGTGACTGATTAAAGTGACTGGCGTATTTACATTTAGGAAAGACGAGAATGCAACGAGACCTTCTATTCTCACCCAACCTCGTTCCCAGGCTGTTTTCCCACTCGTCCCCGGGAGACGAGCAGGAGAGAATCTTGAGAACGAGGTTGATTCTCACCTTCCACAGCTTAAATGCATTTCCAACATCTGCTGGGTGACAGGCCGATGAACCTGGGTAGGTGTGTTCTATAAACAGTCTTACAGCGCTCACTCTTTGCCAAGTTGACCTGTTGTAAAGGAAAAAGAAAGAAGACAATAGCTTGAAAAAATATATTCATCGTAATTTGTCTATGAAAGGGTTCGATCATCGTTTGTGTCAAGGTGGTCATTTTGTTATCGAACGCCACGTTTCAATCGCGTAATGCTGGTCTTTGCTCGGTCTGTCAGTGTGGAAGACCAGTAGAAAGCGGTCGAAACGTGGTGATCAATACCAAAATGACAACTTTATTTTTATATTACTAGTAGGCTGTTAAAAGCTTGTGGGTGACAGACCTGCAATCATAAAGAATCCGAGTTGTTTTAGGTCCATACTGTGATTTTTTATAAAGCATGTTCTCAGCACTCGATCTGATGGCCAGGACCCTGTTGCACCACACTAAGCGGGTCTGAGGATCAGCAAACTCATCTGCTCTTGGTTCAAGCTGTGACAAACACAACTGAAGGGCAACTGCATCCAGGACCTAACAAGTGGGTACAAAAAGTTGCTTTAAGAAAACAGTCATGGGTAGCCCTGAGGTACGCGCTGTAGAAGAGTTACACCAAGGATTTGTGAGAGTAAACGTTTCGTTCAAAGAGTAGGACTTCCCGCTTCGCAAATCATGAGGTCAGTAGCCAGAGGCTACTACACCCTTCCACAGCATAGCACTGAAAATTCGTTAAATAGCAGTCAGGAGTGTCATTAGGTCATGCTCGAGTTGTAAGCTTTCTTCATTACATTCAATTTTGCATAAGCTTTGTGAAAACGCTGTGGAGTAGGGCGTGATAGGTGGCATGACCATGAAAGAAAGTGTTAGTGGAGTCGGCTTTCAAACAACAACCAAAACACTACTTTATTTGTACCAAACAGTATTACCATATTGATTAAAGAAGATATATTAAAAAAAAGAAAGAGAAGTACGGGCTGTCCCAAATAACCATACAAGTCCATTCACGGCAAAAAGCAACCTTTTATTTTTTTTCCATTTATTCCATTTGTTTTCTGAGTACTGCAAATACGTGCATTATGTCACACAAACCATACGACAACCGCTACCTTCTTCACAACAGAAAGTATCACAGGCAGTGTAAGTTACTTAATATTTTTTCTGGAGACATGTCCAGAAATGCACGTGTTGGCGAAAATGGCGAAAATTCCGCCAACGTTTGGCGAATATTCATATGAGGTGGCAAAGGGTTCCCTCTGAGAGTGGCGGTGTTAGCCAAATGGTATATTTGGCGAATATGGCGAACATTCACCAAAGTCTTAGCAAAATTTCAAATGAGATGGCAAAGGGGCAGTTTGAAAGTGGCGATTTTAACGAAAAAGGCGAATTTCGCGAAAGTGGCAAAAATGGCGCACTCTCGCCAAAGTTTGGCGAATGTTCCGACTTCCTATGACGTGGCAAAGGCTCCCCTTTGAGAGTGGCGCTTTTGGCGAAAATGGCAAATATTGCGAACATCCGCCAGTTTTAGGAAAAATTCAAATGAGATGGCAAAGGGGCCCTTTGAAAGAGAGGATTTTCACGAAAATGGCGAATACGGTGAGAATTCGTCAAAGCCTTAGCTACAAGTCGAATAACATGGCAAAGGGGTCCCCTTTGAAAGTACTAAAGTCTAAGAAAACATTGAAATGAGATGGCAAAGTGGCCCTTTGAGAGTGCCGATCTTGACGAATATGGCCAATTTGGCGTAAAAGACGAATATGGCGAACATTCGCCAAAATTCTGAGCAAAAATTCAAATGCGATGGCAAAGGGATTCCCTTTGAAAGTGGCGATTTTGACAAAAATGGTGAATTTGGTGAAAATAGCGAATTTGGCGAACATTCGCCAAGATGTTAGCAAAAATTCAAATGAGATGACAAAGTGGCCCTTTGAGAGTGGCGCTTTTGATGAAAATGGAGAGATTGGCGTAAATGACGAATATGGCCAACATTCGCCAAAGTCTTAGCTACAAGTCACTTGAGATGGCAAATGGTTTACATTGGGTATAAAGAATGAATTAATTCTCCTCAAAATGGTTACTATAAGCTGTGGGATACGAACGCTTGATACTGCCATAATTAGAGACGTTTTCAGAACGACACATCAATCCATTAAATCTTTGGCGACAGTTCGCCGTTTTCGTCAAAATCGCCAATTTCAAAGGGCCCCTTTGCCATCTTATTTCAATTTTTGCTAAGACTTTGGCAAATGTTTGCCATATTCGCTATTTTCGCCAAATATGCCATTTTCGCTAAAATCGCCACTCTCAAAGGGACCCTGGCGATTTTTTTTTTGCCAGATTCGCCATTTTCGCCATTTTTCCTAGAACAGCATTACGCCGCAGGTGGCATCATGGCATTTCCTTAAAACGTATGTGAGTGCAGACTGCGCTCTTGCTGTACGATTACAATTTTCAAGGACATTTAAAAATTCGCAATAGTAAATCATAGCTGCGGGTACGTGCCAAAAAAAGAAAAACCGTCAAGTAGACTGCTTGCTTCTGTCCTATGCGCTCCTCCGAATGTCCCGTCATGGGGGATATCCATTATTAGACTACCTAACATATACCAATTCCGATTCTTACCATCTCCTCTTCGTTGGGCGGAATGACTTCTACAAGGCGGCTTACAATGTCCCGCTGCGCATGTACCAGTTGGCTGAAATTTGCCAAGCGTTTCTCGATAGCGTCATACACCACATGGATAAGAGGGATGTTGAGACTAAATTCTTCAGAAAAATTTGACTCCATATACAATTCACGAGCGGCTGTGACAATAGCCTGACAGAGAAGCTAAAACAAAAACAAAATCATAAAAGGCTCGTTGTGAGCTCTTAGCAATATATTGTTGCGGTGTCTCCAGGAAAGACTAGCTTAAGTCGTAGTATAATGCATGACTTTATCATTGGTAGTAGTCTGTAGAATACGTAATGCACGTCGCCGAGTCCCCGTCGATTTGATGGTTCGTCTACTACCAAGGACTAACTTACGAAAACTGGTTTACTAACTTGAAACAAATGCCGCTGAATCTAAGTTAGTAGTTACCAACAACTAACATAATACTTATTGACGGAACCAAGCAACTCTGTCGACGGCAGTTTGACTTATAATAAACGACCGTTACCACTGTGACAAAAAACGTAATGAAACGCACCAGTCACATTTAGAGTCTTCATAGACAATAACATCACAGCTTAACTGACAGGCGACCAATAACATCGCGACGTAATTGACTAATCATGCCAATAACCAGAGTTTAATACCATCAACTGACGAGATACAACTCACTCTAACTCTGAAGATGACCACCGCACATGTTCACGTCAGTCCTACAACAACCCTAGTCAGGGCCATACTCACCCGGACGATCATTTTCAATCTACTGATGACATATCATGTAAATAAATCTTACTCAGTTAACTCGTGAAAGCAGCTACATGTTAGGAAACTACCAATTAAATTCTCGATTATATGCCTGATACCTTTTCCTCTTCAGGGACTAATGGCTTCAGCATAGTGTGAACAAAATCGTGAAGATAACGCTCAACTGCAGCTTCTTGGTAACCTTCTAACCAAGACTCGTCAAGAAAACGGCCCATCGCAGAGATATTTACAAGGTCTTGCAAACATTGTTGAAGTGGCGTGTTTGATCTCGCTAATGACAAAAAGACACGATAGTATCAAGATCAGATCGTAGACCTTTTTCAGAAACAAGCTGAACAAGGAAACAGCTCTTTCCAAAAAGTGGCTCACCTGCAATACTTGAAGCCTCTCTCCACATGGCATCAATTCTTTCCTTAATTATCCAAGAGAAAGGAAACTGTAGTTCAAACAACTGCGTTTCACGACTCGAGGTGACAACCGGAACACGTTCCCGTATAATGCCACTTTCCAGCGACAAAAAGCCATCATAATGAAGTTCGACCATTTCGTCACATTGGAAAAAACCTAGCCACAGACTTGACAGCCAATTCCCTCCATCCATCACCAAGTCTAGGTTGGAGTCACGGTCAACAAAAGCGATTACTTCAGAAAGAATTGGAATAACTGATGAATAGACTCTTTGCCACAGGGCTTTCCTGAATGTTCCGTTTTCTTGGATTCCAGTACCGCTTAAAGCCTCAGATCGTAGCCAGTCATTTGCCTTATTTCCAGCCCGTTCATCCTTTTCTTGAAGAAGTTTGTGGATTCGACGAGCCAAAATAGTAGCAAATGATAGATCTAGAAAGCGAAAAGAAAAAAGTCTTGTAGACATGACGATTTTCTAAAGTTTAACTTTTCACATTTCACTCCACAGGTTATTATATTTTTCGTACAAAAAAGGCAACCTAAGTTTAGGTCTGGAAATTTGCTAGAAAATGGAAATAACATCGATGAAACTTACAATATATAGTGACTATACTATGAAGGAATGGTAAAAGGCGTAAAATTCCTGTCACGCCTCCGGAACGCGAGCTGCAGTAATTTCATTACAGTCCCTCTATTTTTTTCGCTTCCTCCCAAACCGCCCCGCCCCCTAAGTAGTTTTGACACTCATGCAAGATGGCAGCCGGTAACGCAATGCGCTCGATCTCAACGATCTTACGGAAAAATAGAGGACTGTGAACAGTCTAACTCATGTCGGATCTTTGCTTAAAAAACGAGACATACACAGTGTGTAGGGCGCTTGTTCCTTTGTATGGCTTATGTCGGATCTTTGCTTTAGTGAACTAATGAGATGCATTTCCCACTCTGTCGAGTGGAGACAACTTGTCCGCTCGTACGACTTGACAACTTAGATGCCGTCCCTAGTCAATTAATGATATGCATTTTCGACTCGAAAACTCTGCATGTCAAGTCGTGACAACTTGTGCGCTTAACAAGTTGTGAAAAGTATTTTCTCACTCGTATCATGTCGACAGTATTGGACATGACTGGTTATTTTTCCGTTTATCGGTGTTTCAAAGCAAAAATTATTGTTTTCATCGATGATCTTTTATTTGCGGTCGGCTGAGTGCTTTTTTCACGGCTAGCACGATAGTTTATCTAACACGATTGCCGTCGGCTCATTAATAAACTTCCGGTCATCTATCTGTTGCTTTGTCACAATATATTGTTGTATTCAATGCCATGTGGTCAAGTTCAAATAAGCCTTCTTCTAACATGTTTTTAACTAAAAAGAAGTAATTGAAGTTCACTGGTTTGAGAGATGGCATCATTATGTCGTTTACGGCAAAAACGGCACCATGGTTCTCCGTAACTTACCGTTAACAATTAACTAAAAAGACCTCTAGGAGCCAAAATTGACATTACTTTGAAACTTTATTAACATAAATAAACAGATTTTTTCTCTCTTATACGCCAAAACACTTATCTTTAGCATAAAAGTATGGTGCAACGGCATTTTTGACGGAAATAATAGAGACCTTAAGATACCCCGATATCGGTGTACGGGTACGGGTAGTGTACCCGTACACGTAAAATGTTCATGTGCGTGACTATTTCGATTAAGATACCCGAAGAACAAGCACGCAAAATTAACTTTGTACATGCATGTCGCTTAATGCATACAAAATCTCCCTCAAATCCTAACAACAAGCTGCAACAAATAATTCATTCATACATAAGCTTATTGAAATATCATAGAAAGATTTTAAGAAACTTGGCGGGGAGTCCCTCGACCGAAAGCTTGTTATCGCAAACCCCGCCATTTGATCGAGGCACATCACCAAACAATTCCTTTGATTGTCAACTTGACAGTGACTCCCATGCTAAATTTTTCAATGCTATTTCTTTTGCGAAACTCAAACGTTCGAGCAATTCTCAAAAATCCCCCCAAATACCGCCACAAATTGATATCGTTTCAGAGTTCAACCTGCGCATTTGAGGTCCAAAATCAATACATTTTGAAGCGCTTTCTTTACAGCTAAAATTCAAATTTGGCAAAAATATTTGAACAGACTTGCAATAACATTGCCAAGGAGTCATATAATTTACATTTGTACTTAAAAAGTCTTAAAAACTTACTCGTTTCTCCATCATGTAGGACTTGCAGCTACTCGTAAATCTTCTACGGGTAAACTGGCGTCTACCCCGGAAAAACGGCTGGTTCTAGCGGGTAAGGTCGATGACGTCACCACAAAATGAAAAAAACATGGCGCTATCCGTTACCCGTACACCGATTTCGGGGTATCTTAAGGTCTCTAGTCTTTCCAGGGGGTACCCAACCAAGTTGGAAAATTTCGGAAATTCCAGGGGGTGGTGGGGATGTATGACAAGCACCCCCTGGAATGGAAATTGCGGGGGTTGGGGGGTCTAAAACAAAAGTGCCCTCCGTGGGAAGGGGGGGGGTATGAATATTTTTTGGAAATAGGCATTCACACCAAGCTTAAACATGTTTAAAAGTGAAGCTGTTTAGTTAAACACGGTTTAAAAAATTGTCTCCTTCATAAAAGTGCTTGCTGACTTGAGATGATTGCAAATTTAGTGTAAATTAGAAAACATATTAAATTCCATTTGAATCCCGTGTAAAAAACATCTGTTCTAGTTTTCCGTGGCTGTTTTTAATTTTTTAAAACCTGGTTTAATTAAACATGTTTAGTTGGTGTGAATAAAGCACAAGGAATCACAATGATGTTACCCTGTTTCATACTTTGCCAGAAGCTCACTGACTTAACATAATGTTGCAAGACTTGAGACAATCATAACTAGGAAGTAATTAAAATCAAATGAGCGCTACTCTTACCAGTTCCATCCGATCTACCATCTGGAAGAAGACTCAACATAAGCTCAATTCGCCGTGTTGATCGTGATGAACGCCATGATTCCTCATCAATCCTTGCAACAGCTGCTTGAACACAGCTTCTCAAAAGGCTGACTATGTCTACTCTATCCACGATGACATCACCAGAAGGTAGATCGGAGGCTTCCATTTCAATGTCAACGCCTTCTTCACGCTGTTCGTCGACTTCCATGTCATCTCTCGCTGCCTCAACGTCCATTTTGGCCACCCGTGTGCTGCTTGGTGCAACATCAAATAACTCACTCACTGACCGATCCACCATGAATTGAATGGCTGGGATGTGACCAGTTGGTGGTCGAAGCTCGTCAATGTGAACAGATAGCCAACTTCCTCCCTGGAAACCAGCAAATGCTTCACAGCCTCCGACAAGACGAGGAAGTTGAATAATCATAACTACATGCACAAATGATGAAAGGTCATGCCCAACATTTTCTTTGAAATCTTCTTCTGCAGTTGTCCTTTGTTCCACGAGAAGGTGTCGGGCACAAGGTATCAAATTACGATTGACGTCTCCAGCATCGCATTGCACGATAAGCAGTCCTTCCCTTCCACCAAGTTTTGCAAAGAAATCCCTAGGAAATCACAATGTGATACTATGCAATAATAGACACTACCCCTGACTAATGTTAGGGAGCTTAACAGTTAAGCAACCACGAGGGCAAAGGCTTCAAAAACGGCAAATCGCTCTTAATCTATTTCGTTTAATTGGTCAAAAGAAGGCACATTTTTTTGGAGTTGTCAAGAAAGTACCTGTGATATTGGACGTCGAAAGTATCTCGAGAACGCAAAGCTAACTCACCTCTGTTGAGGTGGGATATGGAAAAATAATGCTCATTTCACAAACACCCTCTGCCCCCCTCGACCCTGCAAATTAGCTCACTTCGTATTTACTTAAAGGATCAAAACTAACGTTCAGAAATGCTATAGTAGGTAACAAGTCCAATTAATTTTGTATACCTCACAGATGAGCAAAACTGTTGTTCCGTGTGGAACTGCTGCAAACTCAGACATGTTACATGTGGCAAGGTTAGAGATGTTGCACGTGCTATGTCTTGCAAATCATTTGACGACAGCAATCTGGAATGAGTTGTCACCTGGAAGGAGAATAAGGTTAGCTCAAGCACTACACAGAGGTCAAAGTGGTTATGACAATTAACAACCTCATTAAATCCAATTTCAACATTATTTCATAATTATTACATGTTATCAATAATTACTACATGAGATCAAATCAGAGCTCACCTGAATTAAGCTTCCCTTTCCAGAATTCCCTCCCTCTGTTGTCAACACATTTCGTAGAAAAGCTGTAAGACTCGAATGTTCCTGTACTGTAAAGTAATTTGCCCAGAGCTCGTCTGCTTCCTGAGCAAGGTCTGTTGATGGAAGACGTGCAACAGCGTCAGGCGTCGCACATTGTAACAACAATTCTTTCGATTCCTGGAAGACCTGAAAGGCAAGCGAATGTTAATCTATCATGCAAATAAGGTGAGTGAATACTGACTTTCCTAGTTATGAAGGTGTATTTCCACCTCTTTCACGAAAAAGCATGTGACTCTATGGGTTCATCAATAATTTTATCACACTTTGCTAACAGAAAGAGTGGTAAAGAGGATATAAAGAAAAGCGGTGTGCTTTTGGAAAACGGAGAAACGATCATTCTTCACACCAGATCAGATTCATTGAACGGCTAAGATGAACAAAAGACGATTGGAAGGAAACTTAACTTTAATACGGTGCCAGAAACTAATGAGCTACCTAAAAGGGCGAGATAGGTCAAATTCATCCAAATTACGTCCCACTATACCTTGTCTTGCGAATGTCCATCACTGAACTCGCTTTCTTCAATGTTGCTGGTTACTTGCAGTACGACGGAAGCTGCTGTGTCAGCATGATAACCAATAAATGCGTCACCAGGCGAGTACTTCCTGTGAGAAACAAAATTACATCACAAACGTCGGAAATGAATAAACATCAGTACTAGTTCAACACAGTGTATCCAAAGGGTATTTTGTTAGGGGACGAGTACGTGTTTCCTTCCTTGAAGTGTTTTTTTGGCCGTCTACAAATTTGTTTCTTACCACATGCACATACATATATATCTTAAGGGATTTTTGAAAACGTTAACGCCAAATAGACCACTCCCATCAAGCAGTTTTTAAAAGTAGCCAAGTTAAAACTAAGAGTACAACCATTGCTTTTTTTTCTTCTCCTTCTTTCTTTCTCTCCGCAAACCTGCCTTTTGGACCTCACAAGCACTAACAAAATTCTGCTGACCTTCTGTCTTTACCTTAATTGCCGGTGACGAGGGATGTTGACATGAGAAAACCTTGTTACCCATTCCTGCAACTTGTCCACCAGAAGTTTTTGTGGAGAACTGAGACTTGCTGAAGTCACGAGGTAATGTTTCTCCAAGCGATTAATGAGAGGAATCGGAAACTTACTGTACACAACATTTTTCTCAGCAATGACAATCAATCTGTTTGGACAGATAATGAATTGGTAAACGTTACTTAAAGCAGAATGACCAGACCACATCGCGTAAACCACATTGTTCAAAAATGAAGCTTTTAGATATCCAAGCACCTTTGTTACAAAGGACGGTAATGAAACGACTTGAATTCTTCCAGCGAAAACTTGCGGCCTGCATTTGCAGCGGTTGAATCGAATTTTTAACATCTAAACGACATAAACGCAATTTTTATGTATCGTTGGTGTGGCAATGGAAAGGAATTGCAATTAAGTATTAACAGGTGAGATTCACGGGCTGAAAGTACTGTCTAAGGACGTTTTACCTGAATTCATCGTGGACGCGACATTTTACACGGTGACTTCCAAGGCCAAGATCCACATATTTCTGTCCTCCAAAATACACATAGTACTGGTAATGCAGATTGAAAAAAAAAAATTCGCAAACGTCAACGCCGTCATAAAGGTAGTCGATAAAGGTGGATTTACGCCAAGAAATGTGTGTATCTATTTGAGGATTTATTTATGGAGTGATCGACTTAAAGAGTTTAAATGTTAAGTAATAACACGAATAGGACATTGTAACGAATGACTTGTAGTTATACTGAACGTTGTGTACATAACATTACCAGCAACTTATACCTGGTTTAGTGCGTCATACAGACTTTCATAGAGGCTCTCCAAGTTCAAAAGAATTACAGTTCTTCCCGTTTCCATGCACACTTTAATTCGATTTATGTCACGGCAGACCTGAAACATGAGACGACAACCCAACATAGCGTTCCATAGATCGCAATTATACCTAATAGAAGTCAAACGATCATGGGATGACAGTTTCAAGAAGAAACTGATGACTTTAACATGACGATATTTTTCTTCTTAAAACGGCAGCAAGCTATCTTAAAACCAACTCTTTTTTAGTCTCCATAATCACCAGCTAGTAGACTGTCCTCAGTCCCCAAGTGAAGGTTCAACTGTAGTTGGTTAAGGTCAGTTGGTTCCAGGGAGGTAAATGGTTGGTTAACTGAAAGAGGTTGTTTTTATGGGGTGTAAAGTAAAATGCATGCCATTGCCACAAAATATTGATTTCTCCAACGATGCTATCTCTTCTCTCTCTTCCACAGAGGCCTCTTCGTGTCTTACAGCGACCGGAGGAGAAATAAAAGAAAGCGCGCGAAGGAAGATACGAAAGGGCTTACCGCGCACTTACTATTTTTTACTCTGTGGAGGAGAAAGCACGTCTTGTTACTGAAACAGTCTAATTTACAAAACATCCATCTCACGAGTAACAACACTTTTAATTACTTTTTAATACAGCTGTTAGTACCTGAGTGTATTCTTGGTCCTTGGGGAAGCTGCTGCCGAAAATTACGACAGGTTGTTCCCCTTTTTTGTGCAGTTCCTGCTGAACAATAGGCAAGGCTGCATAGTTCTCTGTTAGCACCAACAAGTATCGACTCTCTCTATTAAAATGAAAACATAGCAAATGTCTAGTGGAAATAAATTTCATCAAAAAGTTGCCTATTTCTGGCGTTTGTCCGTAAATGATAAGCAGAGTGGGTCAATTTATCTTGTTGACTCTCTTACCCTCCGGAGATTTCGCGTTCGAGGCTGGCTTTGATAAGGTTCACTGCAGAGAATGCATCTTTATTTTGCTTCTTCTAGAAAATGAGTAAGAACGCAATGAATCACAAAAAAAATACTGGAGAAATCTCTGTATAGTTTCGGAAACGTTGGATTTAGATGCCCAGTATTACTAGTGTAGCCTTTCCAATGAAATGTACATTTACACCCCAGTAACCTTCTGTCCATTTTAAGAATCCAAAAAAGCCCTTTGAAATACAACTTGCCTTAAAAGACATACCGTGCTAACCCCCGATTACAAACTGACGTAATTGACAGCTGTACTTATTTGCGGACAGAATGCCGGCCCAACCTGACCTGAAAAGCTTTCGAAGGACCTGTGTGGACCGCCTGCCTAGCTCTGAAATACCGTGGACGAATAGCAGAGGTAACTATAGAACAAATTAACAAATTATTCAACACTCCTACCATTTCGTTTCTGCTAAAAGGAACGTGTTCCTTGAAGATTTTCACTGGGTCAATCTCATCCAGTCCCCCGAAATTCCTTCTGATGGCTCGTTCAATTTCTGGCCAACGTGGCTCTCGTCCATGCTCCTCAGCTGTTTTGTACACCATCTTTACCAAGCTAAAATTCAATGTGAGGGAAAATAAAGATTCAACCGACGCTCTTTTTATGTGAAAATTAACGTCCTGATTTTAGCTCGTGTTAATCTGAACATTGTTAACCCAGCTTAATTTCGAATTTTCTACGCTATAACCATGATCAGAGATAAAATATCCAACGGGTTTGAAAACTGTCAGACTGAGAAAAAAAAATTAAATTTTTGACAACTAACCACTGCACGAAAGAAATGCGAGCTCCAAAGGACTTTAGTTTCGTTTCGAAATACCGCCAAGTGTAAAATGTTGCAGGGAAAATGAGTCAATTTCCGTACGAAAGACCTAGCAATTGGCCTCGCTTTAAGAAAGGTTGACATTTAAGATCACAGACAAAGAACAGTTGGTTTTTTCAATGAACCTGTATGAGTTTAGCTGATATATAGCTGTATAAGCTGATCCAGACACTGGCGATAAAAAAAAAAAAAAAAAAAATTGGAAAATGGCGATTTTGACGAAACTTCGCCAAAGCCTTTGGAGCGAATGAAATGAAATGATCAAGGGTCTACTTTGGGAGTGGCGATTTTTACGAAAATGGCAAATTTGGCGAAAACTGTGAAAATGGCGAAAATTCGTCCTAGTGCTATGAACAAGTCAAATGATATGGCAAAGGGGCTCCGTCCAAAGTAGCGATTTTGACAATAATGGCCAATTTGAAGAAAATAGAGAATATGGCGAAAATTCGTCAAAGTCAGCAAGAATTCAAATGAGATGGCAAAGGGCCCCTTTAAAAGAGACGATTCTGACGAAAATCGCGAATATGGCGAAAATTCGTCAAAGTCAGCAAGAATTCAAATGAGATGGCAAAGGGCCCCTTTGAAAGAGGCGATTATGAGGAAAATTGCCAATATGGCAATTAGCCAAAGTGTTATTTCAAGTCAGGTGGGATGGCAAAGCGGCCCTTGAAAAAGGCGATTTTGACGAAAATTGCGAATTTGGCACAAAATTCGCTAAAGCGCTTTTTCGCCAGATTCGCCATTGCGAGCATTTTTGGACATAAGTGAACAATAGACTGACTAATGGAAGAGCAGTGTTATTTCCGACCGCTTAAAATAAGCTGGAAAACGTTATACTGCACTTGTACATCCCTACCTGTAGAAATCACGAAGACCAAAGAACTCCTCCTTTTTAGACTCCCGAAGAGCTTCCGACCGTTTCTGTGTATCGTATAACTCACTGTAACCCTGGGCCAGTGGATTCATAAGTGGAGCAACAAAGTTTTGTACTCTTGGATCAGTTGCACATATGCCCCTAAGTAACGTAAAGAAGATGGATCAGGCTCGTTAAACTAGTCCATTACAACTACATCAAATTAAGATGGAAACATTTTCTTCCACCCATCCTTGACGAGCCGTATATTTTTTAATCAAACCTTTACAAAATATACTTTAACCTCATTAACCTTGAACCAAATCGGTCGGCTTTCAATTAAGTCAACATTCAGCTGATAGTCAATTTTTATGTAGTGGGACATTTCGTATGAAAAGATCAGTAACAAGGAAATGGTCCTATTTTGTGTATCTGATAAAACGTGTTTAGTCTGGTCTGCATCTCTCCTAGGTCTCTATCTTTATTGGTCCCTATAACCAGGAGCTCCTGTTGTTCGCAGGGTTAGGGGCATTGTCAGGGACATTTATTAATTGTTTCGTGAAACTAAAGGGAGCACTTTAGTGCGCCTTCCTTTACTTATGAATACCATTCTTAGTCCCAAACCAGAGGAGACCTTACATTGCACTTTCCACCAGTTCCTCTGTGTCTGGAAGCCCTCGAGAGAGCATGATACCGCGATTCATCTTTGCAGGATCAAGGGCCCAGTTGGATATTCCAACAAAGGCCACTCTTTGAGGAAACTGTTCTTCCACCTCTATGATGTCATCAGTGGAGCTAAAGCCATCCTCCAGCAGTGGATGGAGCGTTTTGAGAGGCATTAGAGGCGAGTCTTCAGCCAGGCCAACTTCATCTAAGACCACAACTGACACGAACTTGTCTAGGTTTTTGCCTTTCTGGAGCTTTCCGCATTGCCGGAAAGTCGCAACGATCCCTTCAGCAGTTGAGAGAGGGCTGCACTGATAGGACACCATATGAACCTTGTTGAACACGAAATTAGCATACATAAATAACAAACCTAAGAACATGACGAAAACGAACAAAAATACAATACAATTCAATTCAAAACAATACAATCCAACACAACACAATACTGTGATTAACTCAAACGAAGAGGACATTAAGCAAAATAGTCCTGCGGTGACCTTTTCTCTCCTCATCTTTTTTGTTCTCTTAAAAGATACTAACCACTCTATCACATTTGTTCGATAGATTCTAATAATTGCAATATAATAACAAAAATTCGTAATCGTCTTTTCAGCACATTGGCTTCACCTGCTTAAAGGTCTTGAACAGGTCAGATCTTGAAGCATCTCCTTCCATGTTACCAGCCACAACGGTCTTGGCTAAAGATTTAGAGCTGCCTGGTTTACCAACCACAAACAACGGAATCCTGAGTTCAATGCACACCACCATCATAAACACGTTCTCACTCAGTGCTGTGTTACGTGCGATATTATGACCCAGTTCTAGCTCGTTCAACACTGCTTTTTGGCATCTGATGACGAGAAAAGAAGAACAGTGAACCAAGTATAACCATGCAGTCATAAAATCATTAAAACATTAACAGCGAGAAAACGCCAACCTAATCTATTTTGTAACCCTTTTGCTAGCAAAGTTCCCGTATTTATTTCTAGCTTTTCTTACAAGATTTCTCTATGTATTCATGTCTAAGAATCCCTCAAGATACCACTGAAAAATGTATACCCTAAAGCTACTACAAACTGCTGGAGACACCGCAGCCTATCGTAAATGTATCCCCTTTGGGTGTAACGACCTTGTATCATCTGGTGTGACAGAAGTCATGGCTTTAAAATAATAAATAGCTAGTGTGCTTTTACCAGAACGTCTACCTTGTAATTTCCTGCAAAATTCGCTCATGTCCACCTGGTAGTTGGCAAGGAGTGGAAAAGCTAGGAGCCACAGCACGCCGATAAGGTTCTCTTTCCTGCAGTCTTGCATGGTAACACACTCCAATTGAAAGCACTAGGGCACGTGAGACGTCATCAATGGGCTACAAAGAAAGTTGAGGGGGATATTTGTGACAAGTGCAGAGTCATGCCATTCTGAAAAACACATTTTTCTACACCGAAAGTGTGCCTCAGGTAATGAAAAATATATTCTCAAATGAGTAAAACTTTTTATTATTATTCCATTACGTCTCTCAAGAATATACTTAGAGTATGCTTATTTAGTATGTCTACTCTGTCTATTTGTCTTCAAAGGACAAATCCCATTTACCTTCTCCAAATCATCCTGTTCATCTTCCTCCTCATCATCAATGATCTCATTTTCGTCTTCACTTTCCTCATCTTCCTCCTCAAGTTCTTCATCCATTAGAGGATTAAGAGCATCGCGATGATTGTAGAACCAGACCATCACTCTCATTGCACGTTCCACATCTCGAAGGCTCACAAAGCTACACTCATCCTACAAAAGTGAGTGTTGCGAGACAAAAATTTTCCTCCAGAGTTCTTACTGGCGTGGATGGAAAGGGCATAAAGTAGTACAATACATTGAGATCAGATGTAATTTGAGAAATAAAATAAGGTGCCGTTGGAGAAAGCCATCAATTTAAAACCAAGAAAGACAAATAGACCATTCTACAGTTGTGAGCTTAGTATTCTAGCCTTTGAATGAAAGTGAGGCCGAGGTAGACCTTGTTTTAATACAAACCTCCCTCCTTTTCTTATGGAAATTATGCTTAAAAATACTCGTTCGCTTGAGAAAAACATGATAAAAACAAGGTCAACTCCAGCCTCGTTTCCGCCTGTAACTGTAAAATGGACAATTATCAGTAAACAAAAAAAAAATACTACAGTCAAACAAGAATTCTTACACTGGCAGTCTTGTTATATATAAAAAGTACTGTAAATTTTTTTGCTAAGTTCATACAAAACGGAAAAGCACATGCACACACAACAAAACAAAACCACTATTTTTTACCGTCTGATCTCTCATGTAACGCTGAGAAGCAGTTAGCACTCTCGTCAGAGCTGTGACTAAAGGATTGTCGCCTGGAATCTGTTTTTCTTGAAGGACCTTGTGTGAAAATAGAACACCATATCAAGGGTACTATTCAGTAGCACAAATATGAAATAAGTTACACTGTAAAATACCTCGGCGATGTTCATGTTGACAGCGACAACTGATAACTGAGACGTTTTCATGGACTGCTGCTTAAAAATCGACTCTTCTATGGAATGTATAAATTGCTATAGAAAGAGAAATCAGTCGCGACATTTCGCGACTTCATCGCTAGTTTCCGCACGAAATGGTTGTCTGAGAAACGAGCGCAGAAATCCCATAATGATAACGTGTCGCTACCCATATCTGGGTCGTACTGCGAGGGAAATTTGCTACAACCAATCAAGAGCACTACTTAGATCTGGGTAGCGACACGTCGTCAATATGGAATTTCTGCAATTGCTCCTTAGTTGTCAGTTTGCGGGGAAACCAGTGATGGCCTCACGAAAAGTCGGCTGTTTTCTCAGGCTAGAATTCCTATGTCAAAAAAACGGCAGGAAAAACGTTATAGGACACAAAGGCAAATAATTTATTTGCTAACACACTCCAAGAGCGTTATGTGTCGCACGATTATACGTCCACTTACAAATCTGCTGACAATTTGACGCGTATAGAGCTCCTCGATCTCAGGTTTCAGTTGGCCAAAGTCCCAGACCAAAGGACGCATGCTCTCTGGCAGAGAATGGACTCTGTAGACCAGGTGACGGAGGGGAATGCGCCCTAGCATCAAAACAAAGCAAATTAACTTTTCTTGTCTGAAACTAAATAAGGGAGTCAAACTAAAGATCCCTAGAGCATTTCAGTCTGTACATGAAATCCAAATTTATTTCACTTGGACACAAAACCGATCTGCTTTCTCCCATTTTGTAACACACTGACTCTGACGTAAGTTTGATGTAATAGGCTTTTTCTATTAGAAAAAGATACTTTTTATATCTATTTTTCTTCAGACTTCAGACAGATTAAGTTAAAATAGCGTCTGCTACATATTTTAAAACATGCCGCAAACGGAATGCTCACAACTGTCCTAGAAGCCTATGTCTTACCAAGCCGATCATGTGTTTCTTGAGTTGCAACATGGTAACCCAGGCCAGCTGATTCCAGTTTATGGATCATTTCTTCCGTGTGTCTGTAAGAAAAACAAATGTGTCAATAGCACGTATCTTTGCTTAAAGAGAGCATCGACTGGCTAGGTAGAAGTGTGCTTACTTCCTGTAAGGATTACATGCTGCAATGAATTGCAATCTTTTAAGCCCAACTCCAATTTTTCTACCGTTGACTCTGCGATCAACCATAACCTCTTTGATCATCCCTAGAGCATCTGTTGTGTTGGCCTCATCAAAGAACAACACCGTATCAATGCCAAGGCTTTCGTTCCTTCTGGCCATCTGCTCAGCCTCCTCCACTTTCTTCTCAATGTCTTTATGGGATGTTCCTCCGTGAACCTGTTAAGGCAAGATAAGACGCGAATTACTGACTCTTTATCGAACGTTTTACTTCCCAAAGCACCAAGAGCTAGATAATGAACACTAAATGCGAAATGAATAAAAAGGTAATCGGCTCGATGATTATTTCTCAATGAGAACATGTTTTTATGATAATAAAGAAGGGATTTTATAGCGAATAAATGATAATTACGATAGTTAATAGTTTCTTACCTTCATGAGCAACATGTTCTTGGGTCCTCCGGGTCCTGATTGTAAACCACACATGTACCGAATAAGGCAGGTTTTTCCACAACCTGTCTCGCCCATTATGACCACAGGAATGCCACATCTTCAAATGTATCAGTGTAAAAGTAAAAAAACATAGTATATTAAGACTTTGGCCAAAACTGTTACCGGGTTAACAGCGCCCAAGCGGGAGTTTTGGAGTAATTTGGGTGGAGAAAATAAGACAACATAGTCGAAACGGTGTGGTGGAGGAGGCTAGACAAGATAACCGCGGCGGTGCGGTAAAGAGGGAAAGACGACAATAAAGTTGTGGTGGAGGTGGCGGAGGAGGAAAGATAATATAACTGTGGTAGAGTGGTGGACAAGAAAGGACGACAATACAATTGTGGTGGCATCGGTGAAGGAGCGGGAAAACAACATTACCCTCCTGGTGTGGAGAGAGGACGACCAAAAAATTGTGGGGGCGATGGCGATGGTGGAGGAGGGAAGACAACATAACCATGGAGGTGTAGGGGAGTTGGAAGGACGACACTCAAAGCGTGGTGATGATGATCGTAGAGAAGTGAAGACAACACAGCTTTGGCGGAGTGGTGGAGTGATGAAGTGCGACAGCAAAATTGTGCTGGTGGTGGTGTAAGATGAGGAGGGAAGACAACATAATCGTGGCGGTTTGGCGGCCAGGGACGGTCGACAATAAAATTTTGGTGGTGGTGGTGGTGAAGTGGAGGTGAAGGTGGTTAAGGAGGAGGAAAGATACCTTAATCATGCCGGTGTGGTGGAGAAGGAAGGACAACTTTAAAACTATGATGGTGGTGAAAGACGGGAAAAACATGATCGTGGCGGGATGGTGGAGGACGGAAGACAACAAAGTCGGGGCTGTGTGGGAGGAAAGGAAGGGCGACGACAGAAATTGTGCTTGTAATGATCGAGAGGAGAAGACAGCATAACCTTGACAGTGTGTTGGAGGAGAAAGGACGACAATAACATTGTGGTGGTGACGGTTGTAGGGAAGTGAAGAGAACACAGCCGAGGCGGTGTGTGGCGAAGAAGAAAGGACGACATACAATGGGGAAGAGAAGACAACATAACCGTTGCGGAGTGGTGGAGAAAGGAGGACGAAAACAAAACCACGTTGGTGGTGGTGGAGGAGGAGGAGGAGGAGAAAGAGGGAAGACAACATAACTGTGACAGTTGGATGGAAAAGGAACCAGAAAACTAAAGAATTACAGCAGTGGTAGTGGGAAGGAAAAGACCATAAAATTGCGTCGTTGAGAAGGAGGAGAGGTTAAGACAAAATTTTGGTGGCCGGGTACGTTTTTGATGGAATCCGTAAATACGGGCTTTCCAATGTTACTGTTATGGTTACCTGAGGCTTACTGAGGTTAAATGAGGGTTTGGTGCTTGTAATTCGCGCTTCACGAGTGTCACGTTTCTCCGACTTTTTTCATCACTCGTCATAGTTTTCATCACTCATTTAAATGATTTCACTTACCTGAAGCGCATGTGGATGGCCAGAATTTTCTTCAAGTTATCCGTGGTGAGTTCGTAAGAATCATCCGGATCATAGGGCCACTCAACACCCATCACTCCACAAAGCTTCTCGATTTTCTCTCCCCTAAGCGCAACAAACAAATAGTGCATTAAACTCATGACATCTTGTTACAGACTCATCAAAATCTTTAAAGATCATGTCAAATAAAGATTTATATTTCATACTTGCTCCAAGATTCGTAATTGGTTTCCATGTCAACCTTCTGGACGAAAAGACCAGTACGCAAGTGCCTTGACATCAAATTAGGCTGGATGATAACACGGCGGTCTGGATCAATTAAATTGCCATTCTGGTCAATATGGAACCCAACAAACGTCATGGTAACGCGATCTTGATTGAAGAATATGTAGGGATGTGAACTGTTGAACAAATACAATCCATTAAAAAAACAAACGAAAAAATATAAAAGAAAGAGTTACGTTTACAAAAATCGGAGAATCTAAATTGTTTATGGTTTTAACCGTCATCATCAAAAATTACTATACGTCTAAATGAAAACATCGACTTACTCTCTGAATGACAATCACACAAATTTAACCAGTGAAATAAAAATTTACGTGGAAATTGTTTAAACAGTTTACGTTGAGGAAGTACTGTAGAATTTTGTACAGAAAAATCGAATTCTAAGAATTAAGCGACTCCCATTTAGTGGATATTACCTTTAGTACTGTAATACTACAAAAATGGAAGACTGTGGCGTGACATCATACCTGGTTTCCCAGTGTCTTCTTAAAGACAACTGAAGAACAGCCGTGTCTTCTTCGTCATCATCGGCAATATCGTCATCGCGTTCAACACGGGCTTGAGCAGGTCTATCACAGCAGTTCAGAGATGGCGTAGCAAAATCCTTCAAAAAAGGGAAGTTTCACATGAGCAGGAATTTCTCAGTTACAAACGTAAAGAAAAAATATCAGTACAATAGGAACAGCAATAATGTGTGAGTTCTTGGGTTCAAAAATTCTGTTGATCATTAACGCCGCGATCGCTAAGGTGGTTTGGAGTTGTTTCTATTTAAATGGTTCGATTGCTGACTTTTCCATCCATTACATACTAATCACTACAAGGGTTTGACCACCGTCTTAATGCATCATTTTGGAACAGCGTCAAGATTTTATATTGATTTTCCAGAAAAGAACATTTTTGGTCCAAAATAAACCCACGCCAAACATAGGTCAAAAAGCGCCAAAAGTGTACCAGAAATCATTAAAACAAGGACAAGATCGGGAATCTAGTTAACAGCCATGTCGAATAATAATTCATTGCATAACACACAGATGGCGCCCACCACCCATGGGAATTCAAGTACTTCCTCCAAGGGTAGCATTTGGTGTTTGGCAATTGTGCCCAATTTGTTGCGCGATCGCACCTTTTCCATATTTCTTACCCGTGACATAAGGATCATGAATTGGACCACAAAGCTTCTAAAGCCTTCAAGGGTGTCTCCAACAAGTTCCATGTTACAAAACGCACTGTCTTCACAAGCTTGGAGCTGAGAGTTGAGGAAGTTCACAAAATGACGGAGTTCAGCCCATGACGGGTCCACAACGCCACAATTTCTGAAACAAGTGCATAAACGATAACCAACTCCTCCTCCCTTCAATGCCAATATAAAATCGGCGACAAAAAAACGTCAGAAAGGCCCTTTAAGGCGGTGTCTCAACTACTTGTCGCCGATTGTACCTGTTCATTCCATCTCGATAAAAAAGTTACAACTAAAACTGAATAAGGAAACAAAACTTTACCAAATGATTGTTTTTTCTTTGTTGCTAGAGTCTTATAGCGCGAACAAGGCTTTAGAGTATCAGCTAAGAGTAACTCTTGTTTAGTGAAAAGAGTAATTTTTTAATCTCCCCCATCTCCTCATGCTCTTAAATACAATGTACCTTACGAGCGTGTCTATACAATCTGCATGGTCACCCATCACCTGACTTGGAATAAACCAGAATTGATTCAGGTTCTCTCTTGCTGACTCCCAAAAGTTGAGATACTGAAACGCCCGCTGAACATATGAGCTTTGAAATTCAGCATTGTCGAACAGAGGGTTGAGATTCGCACAACCTGCGATAAAAGGAAAGAGCAAAAAGGTTTTAGATATGGCATGCATGAACATCGTCGACATTTTTTAGGTCACCAAGTTCCAACTAGACATTTGCGCGTTGTAATTTTACCTTACCTGTGCTATCTACTTTCCTTTTTAACCCTTTAAGACCCCAAAGTGAATAACATCTGTTTACTTTCATCATATCCATACATAATTACCTCCAGAAAAATACTTCGATCTTTAAACAAATTCTCTCAACTAATTCCTTGAGTGTTGATCAGTCTAGAAAATTTGCACGTGAATATTGGGGTTTTAGAGGGTTATTAGTGTAATGTACAAGGTATAGTCGGAGCCCCTTTGGCACTGCTGATTCTGCAATTTTAGGTCGCATGTGAAGACCTAGTAAAACCTAGTAAAATTGAACCAGGTCGTGTATCGTTTTCCGTGCGGGACTAGCAGATCTCTCAGTCAAACAAACTTTCCCCATGTTTAGAGAAAACTGTTGCCAATTACAATAAAATTAGAAAGAAACACAACTGACATCCTGTTCAATCAAACAAATGGTAACTCTACCAGAAAGGAATAGTAACTACAAACTAGAATTTCTTACCCATTTTCTGAGTCCTCAACTGACTCAACGTTCGCAATGGTGTTTCACATTCAATGGTAGGAAGCAGCCTGTAAAAAGGCTCTGCTTTGACTTTTCGAACGTCAGGCTATTGAAAAAACATAAATTTAGCGATTCAATGCCTTCCTTCACTAAACTATTCTACCATCGTTTACATATCATTTCAGCTTTTAAAAAAATGACTTTACTAGTGAAACAAAAATCATGTAACCTTCCACGAGCCATTTGCTTGTTCCTACCCAATAGTCTTATGGCATTTTTTAGTAGGGCTGACCAAACAACCGCAAAGGCCTTGGCATGATTCATAACAAAAACGAAATATTTAAAAGATAAGAACAGATAGGCAAACGCGACATCAACGTAAGTTGTCGCACAGAAAGTCTTTAAATCGGTCCAATAAGCCATAAAAAGCGCATAGGCGGTTCTTCTCTCGAGAAAAGTTAAATGCTCCCACAATATCTCTTAGGTCACTCTGATGTGGATGGCTTAACGATTAACTGAACCTTACCTTAGAAAGTACCGGTCGCCTTTGAACAGTTTCATTGACCCCTTGTGTTGGCCCGGTGGTTAGCTCAATCACATACAAATCAGATACTCTCCGTCTCCAGACCTGTCCACTACTGCTTTTCAAGACACCAAGTATCAAGAGATTAAACAGAAGTGCGTCAAGGCCACTCTTCACCTGTCAAAATACAACCATCACAAGGATGGTCAGTTGAGATAGGTGCGAGTCAGTTCTTCAACATCTTTTCAAAAATGTTTTGTACATTTCAAACATTTTTAAGGTCGTAGCTATCTCAAGCTTTTTAAAATACGTTTATGTGCTATTTATTCAGTTAAAGTACGCTAAAATATTTTATTATGTAACAAAGCATTTAGTACCGATGGATGGACATCAAGGTGAAAAATCCGGGAAAGTGGCAGATCAGGCACGATCATATGCGGTAACAAGGACTCCACAACGGCGCACTGATCGACAGCTGGTCCATAAATTGGGACGCTGATACACAGAGGCACATCTGCCTCCATATCTCTGAGGTAACTCAATACTTCATCATTGTTTCCAAGTTGAACTAAGCTTTCACTAAGTCGCCGAACCACCAAGCTCTTGCCGCAACCTGCCCTTTCTGAGGACACAACCCTTACTGACACCCTGTATGGGATAAGCGAAATGTTTCTTTTAGAGATAGAAAACATATTGACAAAGGTCAATTTAGACGTTCCAAAACACTTGTTGTTGATCCTGTTTGAAATGTGTTTTGTTAAAGGTGGTGGCGGTCTAAAGGAAGTGGAAGTGGCCAATCAAATGCCACTTTCATGGTTGAGGCTAATAACGATGGTGTTAAAGGTGGTGTTGGCAGTGGTGATACTGACGCGGCTATTGCTGAAATTAGCAACAGTGGTGTTTGGCACTGTAGATGATGGGACTGTTGGCTGCGTTATGTTGTTGGTGATAAAAAAGCGGGCAGCAGTTTTATTTGATGATATTGGTAGTGGTAGGAAGAGTCGCTGATGCTGTCGATATGGTGTTGTTAGTGTTAATGAGGGGTGGTGCAGTCACTGATTTTGCCTGCTGTGGTGGTTGTTGTGCTGTTCGTGGTGATAGCGTAGTTGGTACTGCTAATGGTGGTGCTAACATTCTCTACTTCATGTTTAACTGAGCGCAATACTGGGTTTCCTTATCTTTACTAGTAATTTGTTTTGGCCAATGGATAATTAAAACTAAACAGGAATGCTGGTGCACAAAGGTCTCTCGACTCAGCTTTAGTTTTAGAGTCACAGTAAACGTAGTCACTAAAAAGGTGTATTGCAACGTGAAATAGCGTGCAACTTTGTCTTCTTACTTTTCTTTGTCCACCATGGCAGCAGGTTCCCATTGAAGGATCTTATCTCGCAGCCTTCCTTGTAGTCGACAGCACACCTTGAATTGTGTCTGTAGATATTGCCTGATATCTTTTGATACAGCACAATGCGGAATAGTTCCAAGTCTATGCTGATCAAGTGCTGCAGCCATATGAGCTCTGTCTTCATTTTCAGAGCTACAGATAACCACAAGTGATAGCCCTAAAACAAGAAAATATCCACCGCACTAAAACTTTGCCAAAGACAAGAGGAAAGTAGCGCTATTAACTCCTGCACTCAAAAACTCCCTTTACATGAGTGTGAGGTGATCTGTCGTTGAAAAAAACGTACTTAAATTCTTCGCGAAATCCATTGTTTCCGTAAGTGTTTAGCGTCAAGAAAAAAGAACCTTACAAAGAAAACTGCAGTCACACGGTAAGTGAGAGATGTTTCATGCCGACGTCCATATCAGTTACAGTCAAAGATTTTGCCCGTTAGTTCACATAATACTTTTGGCGCTTAGCACAGAGATGAGAGAATCTTTTCAGCCTTCCTTCCCCCTGACGACTTAATTATTTTCAGTGCCTCTGGACTGAGGGCTTAATGAATTCTAATGAATGCTTTTTTTAAAATTTCAATAGGATAGCGCATATTGCGTTGACAGCAACACTTTCCTTTAACAAATGGAATTCTTGCCCAAATATTGGCACTTTAATAGTGCTTGTCGATTCGACTCCCGTAGGGAGGGCCTTGTGCCTCAGACTAGCGACTTATTACAAGAGGGGTGCTTAGCGTAAAGGTTAAAGACTAAAGAGAGGAAAAACATTAGCTTGAATACCATCGCTGCGATTATATTGTGGCTCCTGCAGTAAAAACTCAAGGCTGTCGGCAGCTTTCTGGGAAACGGTGTAGTCAAGAAGGTCAACATTCACCAAACAGAACATCTGTCCATCAAGGTCTCCGAGGGCCCGTCGCCAAAGAAGCTCAATCTACAAGGGAATTTAAAGTGTGAATGTAAAAGAAAGAGTCTTCCAATTCTAGTTGGCTTGCCGGTTACAGAAAGTATTGTTAAGCTTTACAAATATATTTTGTAACATTTTGTTAGTTTCACAAGAGTATGTATATTAGGTTGCATAATACTGCTGAAGTGGGCTAGTACACTATTTAAGGTTTGTTAAGCCATGCAAGAGCCATTCGAGGCATCTCTTTCAACCCTAGATTATTTATTTTATTTACCGTTGTAATTTTCCCTGAGTTTGTAAAACTGTAATGCTGTTTTTTGTAACGCTTTACGCTAGATTAGTTACAAAATATTTTATAATCGTTTCAGTGTGATTAGAATATAACCAGCATCCCCGCTCGTACGAATTAGTGATAAGTCGTCACACTGTGGGTATTCAAGAAGTAATCAACCGCTAAATCATTAAGCGTCAGCACGTAACTAAGTCGAATCTCCCAGGGAAAGAGTAGCCCAGGATACCACACAAGCCTAGTGGCCAATTCAAGAACAAGTTTCCGAAGCACAATGAGTGGAATGTTCTGATGGAATGACATGTGTCTTTGCCCAGTGTCAAATGGCTTATTTCTTTAAAAAGGTTGCAAATACAAACTATCAGTAAAAGGGAACTAAACAACACCAAAAGTTGTTTCTGTTCATCTGTAAATCGAAAACGCTTACTTCTTCTGCCGTTGTATCAGAAGAGCATATCAACACTTCTTCGGAACTTGGCAGAGATTGTGAGGTGTCTTGCATGTACATGGACAGCACCGTTCCTAGAATGTCATCTGCAATGGGAATGTCAATAATAATAACAAACTCACACTGAAAAGTAACAGTATGGGAGGGGGGGTTAAAATTGCGAATGTATTGGAAATACAGACATGAAAGCACAAATAAAGCCGGAATATTCTTTGAGCAAGAACGGACTATTATCAAAGGACGAAATGCGGGAAGAAAGAAAGGAAAGGGGAAAAACTGCAAGATGAAAATTTAAAAGGAAGTGAGAAAATAAACCAACTCGTCATGGGACCTCGTATGTTTCTACCTTTTGGAATAACAACAAGATTTGGCTTTCCGCGCTTTAAGTACTTTGGATGACGTCTTCGTCGCTTTTTGAGACCTGCAAACAACGGATAGATATGTTTTTATTCTAAAATGCTGCTAGGCAACAAAAGTTCGAAAACTTAATTCTGAACAACTGCCAAGATGTTTCAGAATGTCCTTTACAGCCGCTGATGTTGAAATGCTCTCATGCAGAAAATAGGTAATTTGCCTTTCCATTTCCACTTTTCCCAGGTTCTTATAATTATTGACAACTAAACATTATGAAAGATTTTTTTAAAAAAATCAAAGGCCAGAATCAAACCTTGTGAAGCAAGCTGGCTTAGAACTTTTCCCAGCTGATCAAGACTCAGGAACTCCCCGCCCGCGGTCTGGTCAAGACTAAGTGCAGTGTCCATAGGTTGTGAAACTTCCTCTGGCTCAATCATCATGTCCTCCACAGAAGGACTTAAAAATCAAAAAAGAATTACGAGAAATCCAATGAACGATTGTTTGTTACTCAACTCCCGGCATAGTAAATCGAACCCAATCGAACTAAATTTCAATCGAACTCAATCGAACTCAATCGAACTCAATCGGTGGATTGAGTTCGATTGAGTTCGGCAATCGAACGAAATCGAACTCACCGAAAAGAAAAAAAATCAATCGAACCCAATCGAACGTTTGATTTTCGAACTCGTGATTTATGTAAAACAGACGTTGAAAATCCATTACCAGATCTTAGAAGCTCGAGTTACTTCAGCCCTGAGTGTAGCGCACGTGCTTTTCGTAAACGAAGAAATTCCGCAGAAATGGCTTCAGATGCGTTGTGGATCGTAAGCTTCAAATGTATAGTCAAAGGCTACCAGGAATACCGCTTTGACGTCAAGGATGGCGAAGTTTTCAGGGTTTGTTCTGTTCTCTTCTCTTAACTACCGTGGACAGTTTATAAATGGGGTTTGTGATATAGTAAAAAAAGCGCACGAAAAACTTGCTTTGACGGGCTTGCTTTGGGCTTGCTTTGTATAGGTTCACCAGAGCCAATCGAACGAAATCCATTTAATTGTGTTCGATTGAGTTCGGTTTCCGAACTCAATCGAACACAATCAGACGGATTGAGTTCGATTGAGTTCGATTTGTTCGATTGAATTCGATTTGTTCGGAAATCGAACTCACTGAAAGTGTGGTGTTCGATTTCGTTAGATTGCCGAACTCAATCGAACTCAATCCACGGATTGAGTTCGATTGAGTTCGATTGAGTTCGATTTTCGAACGTTCGATTTACTATGCCGGGTCAACTTTACGCTGAAACCTGATAAGGAAGCTATAGACTAAAGCCACTGCATCGGAAAATTCTTGTTAACACCGGAATTGTTTTCATTTATTGTTTTCCTGGTTTGACTATGCGTCAAGTTTGACATAAGAAACTACCTTTTGTGGTTAGAAAATTAAGCACAACATGTACGCTGGCTTCAGTTCTAGGAATTTTCAATGCCCATCTAACTACTGCAAGAGAATGAGTTTGGCAAAACAAGATTCATTGAAAAGAGAAAAAAGGTTAATTGTCTATTCTGATTGACGTGATAAAGATGATGTAGTCATTTCGCTATTTCGTGTCTTACAATTCTGTAGCAGATATTCAGCTTTCCTGAAGATTTGTCCCAGGGCAACCTTAGGAAATATGCACAAATAAGACTCACCATCCCGTATATGGCTTACCTTCCTTCTTCAACAGGAGCGACTAGGTCTTTATCGATAAGCGCCAAATATCTGGGATCATGAAGGGCTTCTGAGTAACTGGCATCAATTACATCTTTGTTGCTGGCGTTCTTTACACACCAAACAATAAGATCTGCTTCGCTGGCCTCTTTACATGATATCATTGCTGCTATGGCAATTTGCTCTGCCTCTGGGTAACCAATCGATTCCAATTTTGCCACAAGCGTTTGAAACATCTCCACGTGTGACGACTGCGACCTGGGCTGGCGTAGCGGAATGCTACGGTGAACTGTGCCAGTAATGCCATACGACCTAACGATATTGTGGCCTGTTTGCTGGTTGCAAATCCCACAAGAAATAAGCACTTCCTTGAGAATGGCTGGCTCAACGCCCGGCAACACACTCTCCAACAGGTTATAAACCTCAAGAGGAATGCTATCGACAGCCTTGGGACCTCTTCCCTGAACCTTGGCCAGCTCCCTTCGAAGGACCAACAACTGCCGGGTGGTGAAATGATTCAATTCACTACACAACATACGCTTGGCATGCAACTCGTCTTTCCACTGTTGAAGACAATGCTCCATCCGCTCGCTTTTTTCTTCCAAATCAACTGTTAGAGAGCGGCTGGTAGTAAGCCGAGGTGTACACTGAAATTCGCATTTCCATTTGAGATGGCTGACTTCTCCAGCTTTGCGAAGTGCGATGTAAACTGTAGCAAGTCGCTGAACGGATTGCAGAATCTATCAATTTTTATAAAAAAATCGTATAATTCGACAGACAATCTTATTTAGCTACGCTATAAAAAATCAGCAGCTAAAAGCTTTGATTTTATTGCTTTTGTGATTTCATAGTCGCATAGCCTCGTTGATATTACCCTTTAATATGTATACCAAGTAAATCCAAGAGTTAGTATGGTCATTACGAACGCTTTAGATGTGTGAATGCCAACGAGAAAAACTTCAAAAACCTTTACCCGCCGACAAATGAAGAAAATATAATACAAAAACAACTCCGAAAAACATCTTGCTAACTTAAAACGTAATATTTCCGTTCTTATTTCAAGACCGTTATCAAACGTGAAATACAAGATGGAAAGCGCTGAACTTATAAAGAGAGCTAGCCAGAAAGGTGTGGCTGAATATTAACAAACTAATAATTGTGACAAGAATGTGGAGGAAAGTATAACAAAAATGCTGAAATTCAAATTAAACCTAAAGCTAAAACAATACAAGCTCTTTGGCAGCTTTAATGCCATAGTTAAGTTGAGGTATGTACCTCTTAATTAATAAAGATTCCAGAAAACATAATTGGTTATAGTTACTGCTACATTCGGTAGGTAAAATGTAAGATCCCAAAGACATCTAACACTGGTATAGTGAGGACTCAAAGATATATAGACACCGACAAAAGTGTGCTCGAAACCCCTGAGAGCAAGGCTTCCTTATGGTATCTAAATGTTAATATGAGGAAAACCCAACCCGTTTGCATAAAATGTAGACAATAAACTTACATCAACAAATCTATCCACGTCTTCTTTACCATGCGAAGCTTTGGCGGCAATGAGCATCAGCTTACTTTGCAAATCTTTCAGGTCGTCGAGAGTGAATCTCTTCTCATCCGCGGGTAACTTGAGCTGGATCACAGCATCGAGAGTTAACGTTTCTATTGATTTCTCGACGTCTTCACTGACGCAGCCAACACGGTATACACCATGTTCATTGATGGCTTTAGCTTCCATTAGAGAGGATTTTGCCACTGAACCATGGGACTTTTCCACTCCTTTTAGCCACTCTAACTGACGACTTGTGTCTATCTTCAAATGAAACAAAGTCAGACAAAGTCAGATGTGACATATGGAATTCAAATAGTCAACGATGGCGTTAACAAGACAACGGAGAAACAAGGGAGGTTTTTTTAATCTATATTCTCTTACTAAACAGATTACTTAATGATTTAGTAACGGAGCAGAAATTCTATTCGTCAAACAAAGAGTATTTATTCTTAATTAAGGGTTGTAAATCAAGGCAGTTTTGCACAAACATATAAGTGCTATAGTTATCTGTTATTTACTTATTGCAGAAAGATAACTGTGAGAAGTCATCGCATCCACTCACCACTTACCTTCTTTCAGGAATTAGTCAACATCATGGTTAAATAGGAAACGGTCGTGGACTATCAGCATATACTGAACCAACGCTCAAGTGATTCTTCTCACCTTTTAAATTTTGTAAACACTATAAACCGAAACATCAAACCGTCACGCAAAATAGCAAGAGGGCATACCAGTTTTGTAGGAAGACTGGGGTCTGCATCAACTGCATTCCAGACTGGTTCACATGTTTTTATCAAATCATTAAATCCAAAAGAAGATTTCAAGTCAAAGATGAGAGGAGCAAAGCCAAGGCAGCTGGTATGTAGACACGTGATCCTTGCCGTTTCCATGTCTGTCTCCCCAGCTGAGATGATGGCCAAATCCACAAGGACCTTGAGTTCTTGAGGGCCTAAGATAAAAATAAAACAATGATAGTTTAGCAGCCGCAGTTGTTTACAAATACGGCAGTATGACTTATTAATACTATGTTTAACGGTATAGGCTAGGAAAACCTAAATTCATGACTCTGTAAACTCCGGAATTCTGCTAATCATTAACCAAATCGTACAATATACTCATCTCCAGTCGAAACAATTTGCATGTCTCCATTAATTTTTTTTCCGGTGTTTAGTCGATCCTTGAAGGGCATAAACGCCTATCAGGACATCTTTTAAATACCTTTGCAGCTTTCTCAGCTTGTTAGTCTCTACGGATTTTTAAACAGTGACTATCAATTGGAAGGCCAGAACGTTTCAGCACTGTTACATAAAGTAAGTCGATTTTGCTTTCTCTTTTCACTGATAAGATATATTCTTGCCGTATAAACATAACTCATTTCGCAACTCTTCTACCTTTAATTGTTTCCTTCAACCACGATATAAAATCTTGGCATCTGTTGACCGCAGCAAGACATCTTACATGATTAGGGGTTATTTTCGACAGGGCTCGTCCTGCGTTTTGTAAAGCAGTATTCATGCTTTGAAGTGGTCGCTGTTTGAATTCTTTATTCATCTGTTTAAGGAAAAAGAGGAAGTTTTAAATAACCTTACAATAGCACTTGCATGTCTTCAAACTGCGAGGGGGGGGTCGAGCATATAGTGTTAGTTTAAACTTTTTGGGTTAGGCTCATTGCTTTCCTTCGTCCCTGAACATGATTAGACATGAGTAAAATAACAACAGGCTAGAAACTCGGTACGCACACAATCACATTCTTAAATTGAAATGTTAAGACAACGCCATGTAAAGAAAGTTATAATGGCCCGAGCACCTCAAGTTACCCAATGTGGTGTAAATCGAGTCAATTTAAGTCTATCGTATTGACAAACCTGGTTACACACGTCTTCTACAAGTTGAAAATTTCCCTGAAGACCAAGACGTTCTTTGAACTCCAGGATATTCCGAGCGGCATCAATGCAGTTTCGCAATTCGTAGTACTGTTCAATCTGCTCCATTCGCTTGTTTATTTTGTCTTCACGGGCCTTTACTTGACTGTCATTTTTTGAAATGAGCAGCCTCATCTCTTTGGCAAGGTCTTGACTGTCATTAAACACCAGGAAGAGCTTGTCGATCTCTTCGAAAGAAATAACACCACTTAAAAAACGCTCTTGCAGTGACTGTAGCCGTTCATTTGAAGGCGCCCACACTAACTCTTCAACTTCATCAACACTCAGCAAAAACGTCCTGTGACCTTCTCTCTTTTCAGTCATTTTTAGTGCTTTCTCGCTGCTTTCTTTCCAAAGCTGCCTTAAAAGTGTACTGTTAGCAAGCTTGCTCAGAGCGGAAATCATCTGCTTTGCCTTCGGAGAAAGCCCAAAGAATGTCACCAAAGGAAACACTTTTCCTTGAGCCCTAGTCGACTGTGCTAGTTCTTTAATCGCCATCTGAGAGGCATCCATTTCTGTCTTTTTACTCAGATAGTGCAGGTCAACTGAGGAAACAAGGGTAAACAAAATTATGACATACTTCGAAACTATGCTCTTGCCAATGCAAAACCTATTTCACTGCTTAACTAGACAAATGTTGACAACTAACCTACCGTTAAGTCTGCGTGGAAAGGGGGAATTCGAACGCGCTAAAGCACAAAAGGCGCGCTCCCTTGGCGTTCTCGCACGCCTGAAATCCCCCTTCCCCATCAAACGCCTGCAACGCAGGCTATCTACAGTTCAAAAAACACATTTAGAAGTTTCACGAGCATTAGAGCCTATCGTATTGCTCAAACCCCACCAAGTGGAGGACGTTTAAATCTGGTTAAACAGCGTCAATGTGAAAAGTCTGGTGGCGGCATTTCGTTTTAGTTCCTAGGGAGAGTGAGACTGGTTTTTTAAGGACATGAACCAGAGACAGCTAAAGGAAGTAACTTGAGTTGCAATTTGATGTGCTGTTGTTTGAAGATGATTTTAGACTATAGAAATTGCAACTTTTTCCTGATAACACTTAATGTCTATATTGGAAAAGACGGTGAAATTAGTATCTGTGATCAAACTCGTGAAATTAGGGAATACGCTTACGCTTACAATCCCGGGTTTTTTTTATTTGTTTATCGTATCGAGAACTCCACGCACTGAATACTGTACACCATATTACAAAGCCACAATTTTCTCAATTTTTCGACAAAATACCTGTTAGAACCCTTCTTGATGTGCCTTTTCCTGTTTTTAGGTTTTCTGAAGCGTCTTTTAATGCCCCGACATCTGCACTCATAGGATTTTAAATCCTTGACGCCATCTTAACATTGAGACATACGGAACGTTGCCATAGCAATTTTGTAATTTCAATTAACGCTGACATTTCGAGCTAAAATTAAAGAGTAATTTGACACCCATGATATTACGTGACTGAACTACTATATATAACGTTTATTCATTGTAAGGCTAATAAAGCTTGGCCTACTACCCCCTACGAGATCACAATAGAAGTAGACGAGCCCGCCCACACTGTAAAATTAAAATATAACATTACCTTGCTTAATGGCTACGCACATCCTTATAAAAGACGAGACCCTCTGCCTTTCCTCCTCAAATGCAGTTAATTCCACATAGCGCTGATCTAAAGACTGCTTTAACGTTGATTTTTCACTTCCCTTTTTGCTTATTTTCTCAGAAAGCATAAAAAATCGGTCGGAGTGATCAAGAACTAATTTTAACAACTGAAATTCTATGGAACCGTCCTTAACCCCATCGATTGCAGCTTCTAAAGATGAAAGTGCCAACATCAAAATCTCCTGTCCATCTCCCTTCAGCACTCGACGAAAATCAGACTCACGCCCTACAACAGAAAAACATAAGACGTAAAGAAAAAGGCATTATACTAACGATAGCCAAAACACGTTTATCTATTATTTTACACCAACTCCTTTTTCAACAGCAGTCAAGCGTAAAAAGCGTAAAAAGCTTCTGGTTTCAACTTCTTTGCTTTCCTTATGGCTTTGGTTAGCTATAACGTAGCCGTAAAACGGAGCACAGATGAAGAGAGGGGACCAAAAGTAGCGCACCATTGGCCTTACGTTTGTTAGTTGGATGATGAAAATTTTTGAGTAACTGACGCAAAGTAAGGAACTTTTACCCTTTTCACCTTTACCCCTTGACACATCCTTTAAGATAATAGTCGTAAAGTTGATGGCCATTAAGGCGGGTAACGTTTACTTCTATAATCTCTCCTAAGTTTTGTCATGAACCCCAAAACGTTTGTTGATCCTCGTCATGATCCTACGCCCTGATGCGTGCTCTTTTGTTCACCCATATTATTCCTTTCTGGCAACAACAATAAAGAAAATATGAAAACTTTTCAGTCTGGATGGTTTTCCTTGATGAAACAAAGATATTCAGAGAAAGTTTGATCAAAGGCACTGCCAAGTGACAGTATTTGGGCAAAGTTCTTCCTATGAAGTTCCGAATTTACAAAGACACATACTCATATTCATACCCTCATATCATACTTAGTCAATTTGCCTGCCCAATACCACTCAACTCCACAGGTGAATCAAGGCAAGAACGGTCACTAGTTTCACACTTGGTCGCAGGACACTCACTTTTCTTTTATGACTATGGAATATTAGTGGTGTCTTGTACAAACCAAAGGGGAAAACAGCACTGCTTGATACATCATACAACGAATAGAAACACAGATACAAGGAACATCCAGCACGCATTGTAGAATTTACCGTAAATTGGTATTTGTTGAGCAGATAAGGTTAGGAGAGGATAGATAACAGGCCCTAGTTGTTCGAAAGGTGGGTAACGCTATCCACTGGATAAATCACTATCCACTGAATAGCACAATTGGTTTCTCCAATATTTATCCGCTGGATAGTGATTTATCCGGTGGATAGTACTATCCAACGTTTGAACAACCCGGGCCAGATGTATAAACTTCACTTATTCACTTTAGGGGTGCTGCCATATATTGACCAAAAGCGATTACCAGAGTCTGTCTTAACATTACTAGTTTGTCTGGAAGACGAAATGATGTTGAGAAATGATACAAATGTTGAAGCAGTTGAATGACCAGAGCAAGTAATAATGAAGCGACTGAGTGCACGTACAGAATCAAATCTGAAAGAAACTGCTTAACTTTCATGCACAAAATTATTACCGAATCTACGAAAGAAGCAGGGCCATAGCCTCCAGGTCAGAACGTGCCGAAGACTTGTTTTACTTGAGCATGAAATGCCTCCTTGTGGTTGAGGCCAGCAACGCGTAAGCATCAGAGTTAGAAGCTCGCCACATTTATCGGCTTGGGGAGAATCAAGGCCATGCTCTGACAGCCACTGGAACACCTCCTCTCCTTCGTTGCCCATCTAAAGAAAGAGGGCAGCATACAAACAAATCATGAAAAGAGACAAATCAAACTGACCATATCTTAAGGTAGTTCTCCAAAAACCGTTATTGCTTTTGTAGCTTGTGCGACTTTCTTGAATAATACAGCAAAAAAATTCAGCTTATTTTAGCTTTATTCGACTAATTTTTCTTATGCTTTGCGGTAGTCGCTAAACAAAGGTTCTGTAGAATGGGGCTTATACTTGGATGTTGTCCTTCGTTACAAAATACGTTTGTTTCGAAATTGTACAAGACAAGCCCGGAAAAGAGTTTTTACAAGTAAGATTTCAATAAACATCGTAGTACTTCACTTCCAGTACGGCATGAGCATTTGCTATCTTATACACAAGATTTTCGAGATTTAAAAAAAATCAGAAATTAAAGTACCGCAAACATATGACGCGAAAATTAAGTGAATGTCATTGTCATTTAAAAACACACAAGTCTCATGAGATTTCAAAAATGCGAGGAAGTAGTGGTATCTTTTCCTTCAGATTGATTTAGTATGTTTCACATTAAATGGAGAAGGAAAATGAATAAAACTGTAGCATATTAGACATTAACGGCTCTTGACTGTTTCATTGGTATGTTCGAATTCGTTTTACCTAAATTCAAGCAATGTTGAATCACATTATTAAAGAGATAACCAAACTCGGAAAGTTGGTAAAATCTAAAAACTAAAGTGATTTCGGATCCAGTTTCAGGAAATGCAACTGTCGTATAATATACGAACTTCAAAACAGCGAAATAAGCATATCATCCAAAATTTCACCCTCATTAACCATCCTACGGTTTGAAAAGATTGACTTTTCTATTGGTGAAAAGTGAAACGATTTCTAAATCAAAATTTCTTTAGTGTACTACTAATACTGTAGAGAACATAGGAGTGGAATAACTAAACACATTACGTCACCTGAAGCATGCTTTCAACTTTTCCGAACGTTACTTCAGACACTAAGTCTTGAACAAAATTATGATGGGCTGCCATGTTAGCTTTGGTAAATACTTCGACCAGGTCATTACAGAAACACTACAAAAACAAAAATAAGGCAGATGTTTAAAATACCTTAAATGACAAGGCAATTGTTATTTAGAGATATATATCATTGACCCTGCTTTTACTAAGGATGCTCTTACATTTATCGCTCTTAGGCAGTTTCAAATGTCAAACTCTACAAGTGCTGAATCTAATGCATTCTTCTCATTTCTCGTTTTCGCACCTATAACTGAACGGCAATTGTACATTGTAATGGAATAAACGCAATCCAACTCACGTGCATCACCTCAGACACAGCACTGTGGTGTGTGAGGTCTAGAAAGGTACACTGATCACTGCAATGTTTTACACGTTGCAAATAAATTGTTGATGAATGTTCCTAACTAGAATTTTCAAAGAGTTTAGAGAAGATAACGTGCTCGTATTCCCTGTGAGAGAGACCCACCCATCATTGTCACTAACGTCATTTACTGATGGTAGGCTACTTACGATAATAATGTAATACAAAAGAATAAGAGTTCTCTTGCCTCTTCCAAACGCTGTTTCAGTTCCCGTAACAAGCAATCACTCCAGACGACCTCGCACTGTTTAACCTTCCATTCAAGGGCGAACAACTTTGTCCACGTCTAAAAATGTATATTTTGAATATTTCATGAAACATGAAGGTAAACTAAACTCGTTTGTGGCAGAAATCTCAGTAAACTTGATTTTTTTAGCTAGCAACCATATTTTTAAAGCGCTTGATTACCGGGAACATTATTAAGGTCAAATGAGCATCTTTAAGGCACTTGCACAACATATTTAACAATTCGGGTCACTAACAACGCTAGAGGGAAACTTATATGGTGCAAAAAGGCCCTTCTGCAATAAGGGATTGTCTCCATTTTATCTGTTCTTCCGCATGAAGCAAATTCAAGCAAGTTACAATTCGCTTTGTTGATAACAAACACAAAACTTTTTTGAAACACCTTTAATTCTAATTCGGCTTCCTCTATGCGGTAACAAGGAATTTTGCTACTTAATGACTTCTTAAGCCACTTCTTGACAATTTCAAAGGCCTCCTCCACCACTTGCTCTATTCCTTCAAGGCCTCCTGTTTCATCTTCCCCTGTCGTGGACAGCTGGCCAAGAAATGAGATGCATGCCGCGATGCTTTGTAAACAGTCCAGCAGAAGTCCAAAATTGCAGCGAGACTTAGAAACATCCCTAAAAATCCCCAAGCAGGACTTGGAGCAGAGAAGGACTTCATCTTTCAAGGCATCGTGATCACCATCGTTGGAAGATCTAACACAAATTACCAACATGATGGAGATGATATACTCACGTAATTACTAACACTGATTTATGATTACTATTATTATCGTAATTAATTACAGAGATTTTTTTAATTTGTTAAAACAAGAAACTGTTATTTGGGAAAGACCCGTAAGGATAACGTATTTACAGCAGAAGCTATACCAAAAGAAAATAACTTGCTGAGAATTACTGTACGGGAAAAGGAATCACGAGAAACGGCCAGTCACGTTGTAACACCAGCTTCGTTTTAAAAAATAAACTTTGAGAGAAATATATGTCTGTAATTACCTGTGCTTACGGAGTTTGCAAAGATACATTTTTGCTCCTTCGTTTTCCGGACGTTTCTAATTCTCCTCTCCATACCTCTCCTTTGTTAAGTATTATTTGAAAAATGTTCACTTCTACACGTGTTTTTTTTTAGGGTTACTGAGATTTAATTGAATGGAATAATCAGCCTTACTTTCAATCTCAGATATTCGAAATGTGGTTTGCAAATGTAGGACAAAACATCGCTATTGTTACTTCTAATAACTACTTATACTTACTCAGCGCCTGCTATCTCAGTGGCTAATTTTATATCCTTTTGTGTTTCGAACAATGCAACTGCAGCAGCTTGCCTCTACATCAAAGAAGAAGGTAAATGTAACTTACTTTCAAGGTGCCTCCAGATGGCGTCTTGAGTTTACATAAGGTTACTTTTGTTAACTGAAATCAAATTTTGTGGTAGGGCTGGTACACTTACTTCTCAGCTCTTGAAGGGAATTTAAGGTTGGTTCATAGGCAATGGAAGTTTACAAAATAACTTATGGTAAAATTAGTTTGGCAACAGTCAACAGTCGACCAACCCATTAGTGGCTATCCAAAATGCCACGATTTGGTAGTCTCTTACGATAGGGAAGTGGTCGCTTACGAGAGGCAATTATAGTCCTTTGACTGGGAAAACCGACTTTAGTATCTTGATGGGTGGTCGACAGCTGGTCGGTTTCTCGAGATGGTTGCAATTGAAATTTCAGCAGAACTTGTTATTAATAGAGTGCAATGGTAATGTAAAAAAAAAATGAAACGAAACGAAACAAGAGATTAAAAAAGAACTTACCTCATCTGGCATTACATAGTCCTTTACAGACAAACCCCGGGCAAGGGTCGTGCATACTTCGACAGGTGGAAATAGTCCGGAGGTAGCAATTTTACTAAACGCTACGGGAGGAACACAAAAAAGAAACGTCCTTCTGAAGAGAGGATCCAGTTCAAACAAGGGAGACAACATGTTCATCATAGAGGAAGGGCAACTGAAAGGAAAGAAAGAAAACAACAATAACCAAAAACACAATCAAGAAGGCAAAAGTTCATAACATTACATTTCAGTAGCATAACACGTTTCCGTAGGTCGACATAGAGGGCAAACTTTCAGTATGAATGCTGTTTGCTGAGGAAGAGAAAATTTCTAACCCATGACTGGCTGAGCGAGGAGGGATCTTATTGAGGGGTTGTGAACACAATGGACTTTCCGGGCTCCATTTGCCGCTCAGCTATTGGTTTTAGATCTGTGCGCGCTGCAGTCACTGTTGTCACGTTGTTTCTGTTAAATCTGCCCAACGATAAAATAGTACAACTCCAGAATGCCTTTACAATTAAATACGCTCCTCAATAATAAAGAAAAAATATGCAAAGGAGGCGTTTGCAAGGTTACAGAGGAATTTTGAACATGTCACAAAACCTATGAAAGGACCTCCGTCGTTTGTTGAATCACGATGTCCCCATTAAACAAAGAGTTCACTCACTAGATTGACTGGGTGGGAAAATTTGCTCTTTCTTCACTTTTTGCTTTCATTATTGCATTCACAATGAGTGGGTATGGATTGCCATGATCGTGTTCAAACCAAAATAAATCACTTAAACGGGACAGGTCACGTGGGAAGTAAACTTACTGGAGAAATATTTTCTTTAAATAATGCATCATCACTGTGGTAGGTCCGACGTGGTAAAAAAATTGCCGCAAGCATCAGTTCTGTCCGAAGTATATGGCCCGAACGTTACAAAGCAACTACTCAATAAGCCTTAATGACGGTGGAAAAGAAACTACGAATTCTACCAACCAATTTATAAAAATTCGCTTTAAATGTCAGGAAGAACCACATTACCTGCAACCTCTCTGTCTGAAACTTTACAAGATACAAGAGGATAATCAGCAAAACAAATGAAAACCAACAACTGATAACAGACAACGTAATATTTGTAACAACTTAAGACCTTTCCCGTCTGTCTTGAAGGAATATGGCAGCATGAGGCTCAGACAATAAAATATCTAATGTATAAAGTGCTGCCATGTTTCTTAAAGAAACATGGCAGCACTACATCGGTATATATGCTCCAAAAACAACCAACCGCGGTTGGCTTAAGTCAGTAGGTGGAGCGCTTGACGGCAGAGTTGGAGGTCGTGGATCCAATTTTCGGATCAGACCAATATTAAGGATCTTAAAATAGTTGAGAAATGAAAGTACTGCCTTTGCGCTGCAAACGGATGGACCTTCGCGCGGCTTGGATGACCACTAAAAATGGCGGACCTAAAATAGGCTCCTCAATCACTACTTTTATGCTAAATACAATGACACTCGAAAAAATGTGCGTCTTTCACCTGTTATCTGTAAAATTCTTTTCTCTCACTGGTTTGGTAGAAAATCCATTCGCACCCCACCAGGTGTCATCTTTAGGTTTAGGTTCCTCCATGAGTAACACATCACTGCTAAACGGTTCTGATGCCTGGGTCAGGAAATGAACTAGTGGTACTGCAAACAACCAGTCATGAAGGTCGTAGATATCCTTCACAACTTGCCTGCAAATCGCTTGAACAGATTCTCCAAGGTTCCTTAAAGAAAAGTTTAAAGCCTTAAACCATGATAGTATTCAAAATAAGCTCGAAAGAAAATGCTCGGCATATTTTTATTTAGTTAGTTATTTATTTTGATTAGTATCTTTTACAATAGATTTAAGACAACCGGGCACTAAAATTTTCTAATTCGGGATCAAAAGTTAAAAGAGGAAGGTGAAAACATTAAAAGCTGTTTCTGGGTGCGGTGCAAGTTAAAATCTAACGTATAGGATATAAAAAGGACACAGGTAACACAGGTTGATTTATGAAGGTACTAAAACACAAGCTACTCGGTCAAGATAGAATAGGGTTCTTAAAAAATAACAACTCTCTCCTCGTCACACCGAAAGGTGAGACGCTTAATTGTTCTGTTTAAACTTTGGAAACAAATGCACGTCTAGCCTCGCAGAGAAAAAAACTTAAGAACGAATTTAGTTCAACATGGCCGCCACGTGAAAGGGTCTATGGAGTACTGTGTAATAAATTAGGATAGTTGACTTCAAAACAAGGACAAGAATACTTATATCTTCTAGAATGCTATAAGACACCATTACGGCAACTTACAACTTGCAGTCCGGTATTTCGTTGAAAACCTCTCTATTTGTTTGTTTTTATCCCGGTTTAGTTCATTGACAACATGAAAGAGACCGGATTCAATCTGGCGCTTGCACAACGGAGCTATTGCATTATAATATAAAACCAAAGGTCTTTGTTCAACTTCTGTTGCTAAAAACATCCACCACCCAAAGGACTTGTGTACGTTTTTAGAAAGTATGATGCTACATTTTGCAGTGCCTTCAACCTAAAGCCGTTGTGAACATGACTGGTCCATTAAAGGCCAATTTTATTTCTAGTTGAACCCGGAAGCAATATGAAAACACGGAGGAACTACCTACCGCCACTGTTCGCTGGGAAAGTGACTCAAAAGGCTGTTAAATGAACTACAAGTCTTTTCCTTCGCATCTCGCCAGAGAACTAACGATGACAACAGTTTTGCATATTTATCACGATCGAGGCGCACTTTGTGAGAAACAAGAACATGAGCAATCGCAACTGATGATACAAGACGAAGCATCCTTTTGGTATTGTCTGTGCCATTTGATAGGGGTAGAGCATTCTGCTCTATCTTTGGCTGCAACATTTCCTTTAGAAGCTAAAAATGGTAAGATAAAACAACATGCATTAAACAAATATAACACAGTGATACACGCTGACGAAATTACCAAAAACCAAACTCAATCCGTAATTACTTTCCAAACATTCAGCATAACAGATAGATTGATGAGCACTCACCTGTCGCGGGTATATAAAATCAATTACCCCTACGTGCCCATGCCGCTCGTAATTTATTTTATTTTTTTGTACGAATGTTTGAGTATTCATTTTATTTTATTGTAACCTAGGTATTAATCTAGGGGCGTTGCCTCGCATGGGACGTTAGTCCCGTTGCACCTACCCCTTTTGGGTTTTTGCTTCTTTTCTTTCCTTTTCTTTTTTTTTTTTTGTGTTGTATTGTAAATTTATATTGTATATTACAAGAGGAGTACCCAATAAGGCTGTGGAAAAAAAAAGAAGGAAATTTAGCCAGGGCTAAAAGCGAAGCTCTCGGCAATATCTATAGTTAACTCAAACATAATATAAAATCGCGTAATGTTAAGCGGCGACGGCAACAAAAACAGACAAAAAAATCAGTAGGTCTAATTAGCAAAAAAGAAACCTTGGCACGTGTAGTACACTTTTTTTGTAGATTTCTTTTCCGTTGTTTTGCACGTCTACAACGTGAAACTTCCAGAAACTTCTTAGTTACACGTTTTGTGGAGGAAATGTTGTATATGTTCTTGTTCACTTTTTTTTTTTTTCGCTGCCACTCATTTTCACCTTGGTGGCCTCTAGCATTTCTCATTTTCTCACCGCCTCTATAAAATTTACATGTTATTCTTCCAACGAAATTGGTCTCCTTTGTTTTTTATCCCTCGCTCGAGCTCTTTCTCTGTTATCAAGGGCAATGGAGACATTAAAATTAAGTCGAAAAAAAGAATCGGCTTTGTTGTTGTTGTTTTTTATCACTAAAAGTCCGGGTGGCTATGCGATTTACCACCGAAGCGCGCGGGTAATTGAAATGCAAAATTTCACGCCGGCTTACATGAAAGGGTGGACATACGCACGGACGATTTTCTCGGTTAGCATTAGATCCCATTGGCCTAAACCCCTTTGGACACCTTGTGAAGTTGACACAACCTAGTGTTCCTTATCGCTTCTGTTTCGAGCAGTGAATATAGTGATTAGGGTTAAGCACTGAAAATAGTACACCTATTACAATAAAGGTTGCTTTGGGATTTGGTCATTGAAACACAGAATACAATACAATGCTTTGCTTGAATGACCACCAAACAATGGCTTTCAAAGACCAAAGCACGATTCCCAAAGCAACCTTTATTGAAATAGGTATTGTATATCCGATGGTATCCACTATGACGTCATGGAGTAGTTTGACGTCACAGAAAATTTTTTGTTTATAGGCAACATTCGACTGAAGGCTATTTCTCATCATATCAATGACCAAAGAGTTTTTTACGGTGGTTTTAGGAGTCGGTAAGTGCTTTTTGCAATGAATTTCGAATGCAAAAGTACTTTTAGGAGCAAATGGAAGCGATTTTGGATAATTAGCCTTACGGTATGAGCGAAGCTCGAGGTAGCAAAACACGTTTTGCTCGCAGGCGAGTTTATACCGTATTGGCTTAGTTGGGCCTGCCGCATCTGTTCTCTTAAAGCGATGAAATGCGTTTACATTAGGTTTCTAGCCATGGTTTCCAGTTTTTTTTCTTTTCCTTTACGTTAAGTCTTCTTTTTAGTTATTGTAGTTTTGTTTTATTTCTTTATATTGCCTAAGTTTTTTAAATTTATAAATTTTCTTCCTTACTGCTTTATTTCCCTTTCAACTTCTTGTCGTTCTCCCGAAGTCCTTCGCGAGTTCCTTTAAGAGACTAACTTCTGAGGTCGATATGCACCGAGGTCGACCATCGTTTAGCGACACCCAGGATAAGTGACATTATTGCAATAGGAGTTAAACGTCTAGAAATTAGTCTTGAGGTGTCCGTCGAATACTGTCATATCTATGGTAGCACCAAAAAATTCAGTTTATAACACAGTCATGCAAGATAACATTGAGCATTGACTTACTTTGGTGAAGTCGAAAGAATACGGGACATTCTTGGACAAACGACTGTTTTCCTCCACATGAGCTTGTGTCATACAGAAAGCTAAATCGTTGATAGTCTCTATGGCCTCCCAAGCCGACAAGCTTGTATTGCCACCTTTCACGGTAAATCCTTCCCAGACGGGAAGCATTGCCCGAGTAGCAATCTTCCTTCCTTCAGCAGCATCCATGCTCTTCAGAAATGGCATTTTGTTACGAGCTGATTGTAACCAGTTAGGTGGACTAAAGATTGTGTCATCATATTGGTTCCAGACAGCTAGATAATAACAAAAATACGCAAATAAAATGATAAGAACGATAATTACAACAGCAATTTTCATCCGTCTACGAAATTCTTGGACACCAATTTTCTACGAGCTTTCTAGTTCGTGCAAGACCTGTTAAGCTTGTACGTTTAGTCTCCCAATGAAGGTGTCAGGCTAAATTTGTTCCTTTGTCGTTTCGTATATTATACGTACGTATACACGTGAATAAGACAAAATTTGAAAGGAACAGTTGTCTTAAGTATTATCACACGACCTACATTAGGAAAAACAAAAACAAGCTAAAGAGGTCTATTCAGCATCTATTGTCTAAAGAGAAAGTCGAACACGTAAATAGATGACTATCTGAGTGTTACTGATCCACTTATGATTTATTTCTTTATTTATTTAATCGCTGTCACCATGATTACAATGCTAAATTAAGACTAGGAAAAAAAATACATTTGAGCAAGTCACAAGAGCGAGAGACGAAAGTGCGGGACACACATCAGAGCGACGCTCTAAATTAAGTAAGGCCCAGTTCAGACGTCGTGCTTCTGCCCTGCCGAACTTAATTGTAATTTGGTTCGACTGTAGCACGGCAGGAAAACAACTTTGATTCAGACGTCGTGCCAGAGTCGAACCAAATTCAGGATTTACTGATGCCTCGTAACAATTCTTCTCCCAACTCCCCGTGGGAACGCAATCTCGCCAAAATTCATTAATATAATTTATGAATTTTGTTTAGCGCGGCAGAAGCACGACGTTTGAATCGCTGCCGTGCCAGAGCCGTGTGGCACGGCAGCGCTTGTCGAACTTAATTGCTTGCCGAACTTAATTCAAAAGTTTGATTCAGACGCCGCGCTTCTGCCGTGCTTTTGTCGAACTTAATTCCTCAATTTAGTTCGGCACGGCAGAAGCACGACGTCTGAACTGGGCCTAAGCCTTTAAGAAAAATACACAAATACTAACTATGTAAACATTAAAACATCATACGAAGTATAAAAATCCTATTTCCAAAAAGGATAAGAACGAATCACTCTCGCAGCCGATAAAAAGTCTGAGAAGCAGCAGTTGCCAGCCAATAGAAGATTACGTGACCTACCGCATTTGCAGCAGATCGACTTCCAGGTGTTAAAGTTAGTGACGTCATAGTTTGTACGAAAAGCAACAGAATAGCGTTGGAGTACGTGGGATTTAAACTGATTAAGAGAAGTAAGAGTACGAGTGGATTCAGGTAACGTATTCCAGAGTTTAGTAATACGGTAAAAGTAACTAAATTGAAAGAGCTTTGTGCGGCACTTGGGAATTAGTACGTCTTGATCAGAGCTGTGGTAAGTGAGACGAGTGCCTTTAGGCTTGACGTATTCATCTATGGGTAAGGTGTAGCGGCCAGCGCGACACTTGCAGTAAAAAATCAAGTCTTTCACTTCATGTCAGTATGTTAACCGTAGCAGATTGAGGCGAGAAAGGCGCTCATGATAAGAAATATCCTCTTGCCAGTGCGTGTTTAAGATTAATTTTGTCGCCCTGCGTTGAAGACTCTCTATTTTTGTTATACTACATATCGTACTGGGTGCCCATATCTCGCTAGCATAGCCAATATATGATCTTACAAACGTGAGATATAGTAATTTCCTATGGTCTGTAGTGAATGACATAACACTATTGCGGCACAAAAATGCGAGCATCCTATTGGCCTTAGCTAAGATCGTGTTAATGTGTGTCCCATGTGAGGTCCGGCAAGATAGTCACTCCGAGGTCTTTTACTTGAGTGACGTGTTTAAGTGAGTTGTTGTTCAACTTGTAAATCGTAGGGGCTTACGTGTGACGGTTAGTACCTCACATTTAGAGGTGTTAAACTTTAGGTGCCAATTATCGCTAAGCTCTTTTTGCAGTTTGTAACAGCTACTTTCACGAAAACAGAGATTAACAAAAATTCTTAAACAGATTTGCATTAAAAAATTTCAGACCTGCAATTGATCAGGGTACTATACAATCGCTGAATTTCGCGTCCATTGAAACTTTTCAAAGTTGTCTAACTTACGCGCATAATTGGGTAAAAATTGAAGCGATGTCATAAGTTTGGATAATTTATCGCGTTTGGCTGATGAATGACAATTTTCCCTCAGTGGGTTTTCACATAATACCATAATTCTGATATTTCATTAAAAGCTTTTCTCAAACAGTTCCATTGCAGAGCAACTCATTTTGAACTTGAGGCCAAAATCCAAACATTGGTGAGGGTCAAATATATGCCCCAATGGAGCTTATTAGAGGAGGCTTTTTTCCGATTCAAGTTTGGGAGCATAAAACTGGGAGAGCTTTACAAACTGAGGGGCGTATTTTCGGAACTTTCCGGTATTAATTTATTCAGGCATAGGGGTATTCTAGTGGATACACAACATCCAAATGTTCGATTCAAAATAGAATTCAAGCCATGACGGAACTTTCACCACTAACCTCCAAGCAGTCAAAATGTAGGATATACAGTCTCGTTTTCCCACCTGGTTTGACGGCGTATTTTGACGAGTATGGCCAATCTTTTGAATTTTTTTATCATTTTTTTTCCCATTTAACCAGACACAGCTTTCACTGAATATGGAAAAATATTGTTTTGAAGAATCTTGCAGGACTTTGAGCTGTTTATAAAAGGTTTTGATTAGAGAAATGATCTTTATTAAAAATATCAAATACGTTTTAAATCATGCCGGCTATCGTTCCAAGAAAATGTCTCCCAGTAACCTCATGTCTTCTTAGAGGACTACTAATTTTACATAGATGATAATAGCCTGCGTGACAGGCGTTCGAAAGCGGAAGGGGAAGGGAATTTCGCGCCAAAAATCCCCTTTTCCCTTCCCCTTTCGAACGCCCGCCACGCAGGCTAGCATGACAATGAAGACAACAGCAAAAACAATAATCACCTCCTTGTCCACATCTCTCTTTTGGTATTTGAAGACATCTGTTCTTGTCATATCCCCAGCCAACTAAGTATTCCCACAAATATTTTGCCTTTTCTTTCGAATCTTTCCTTTTTTCTTTTAATACAATGTACTTGTATGGGACTTTGCGGGACACATACGAACATGGTACCACGAGCCTTGCTTGCACCAAGATAAAATCATCTTCTAAGCATCTATATTCAAAAGTGCAGAGCACTGTCAGATTCAATCAGTCTCCAAAGATCCATTTTAAGATGTACAGAGATAATGACAAAATCCATTCAAATAAGTGTCACATGATTGTAAACCATAGCGAGATCACTTATCGGACCCCCCCAGCCTGCGCTGCTGGCGGGCTCAGAGTGTGCTCAGAGAGTGGCAGCGGAGCCGCCGGGCGAAGCGAGGGGCGAAGCGAGGGGTGAAGCCGCGGGAGGATGACTCAACGTATTTCCTCATTGTTCTCGCGGTTTACAGCCAATGCGTCAAAGTCGTGCACGTCAAATCCCGTCAGCTACGCAAACTAAATGCTATCTAGCTAGTGCGTTTCCAGTTCGTTATATTTCATTCGCTCGGAGGACTGCTGTGACTAATCTACTTTATTAATTTGCATTTCACTTCCCTATCGACACAACACTACGGTTTCCTCACAAACTAACTCCTTCATTCACCTACCACAGGCAGACCATTTACTAGTGCAAGCATCCTTGCAAAAAATTTCTTTTCACGAAAAACTCAAAGACCTTTCTATAAACCTCTAACATATAGATTTAGCTAGGGCTAATAGCGAAGCTCCCATTAATAAATTTATAATTTACATCAAACAATAAAACTTGCAATCCACAAATCAGTTAACTTAAGGGCACATTCATGTGACTTGAGGGAAAGGCTAAGTTATTTTAGAGTGAAACATCTTACATCGAGTTGATAGCCTTATATGTACAGCCCAAAAATAGCAAACATCCATGATGGCTCTTGATCACAGTAGATTAGGCCTCGAAAATAAATTTTTGGAAAACAAATCAGGCCGAATTTTTTTGCGTTCGACAGGTTTACTTTAAAAATTCTTGGCAACAAATCTGGGGGTGTGTAACCCAACCTTTTATTCTTTTTATACATCACATCTGAGGTGAAACAGTACTATTTATCATACAGACCTGGGACAGAATGCGGAATTTCACAATTTTCCAAGACAAATTGCACTCAGTCAATGTTCAGGACGATCAATCGTGGGCTTTTAGCGAAACCGTTCAAAACATTTTCCAAAATCACCCATACGGACAGCCGGTTCTCATTTCTAGTGCGAGCTGTCACTGTGGTCGATTGTTTGAATGAACTTTAATAGCGTTACGCTTAGGCTTTTGTACATTATGCTTTTGCTTCCATACTAAAATGCTCCACCTTTATGCTCCATTTTTCCCTCTAGAATGCTCGGTCTCCCCAAAAAAGTCACTAAAATGCTCGGATAATGCTCATTATACAAACGATTTTTTTAAATTAATTTCAAAGTTTACACTTACAAAAACGTGCAACGTGCAAGTGTTGCAAGTAACAACGACAACGTGTACAAGTTCATAAATACAGCCAAAAAAACAGCTTTATTAGGTTTTTTGTGAATTTTGGATTTTAGTCTTCATTTCGTTTAAAAAAGCAGGAGCTCATGGGTCATGGGCTCCTGAAAAAAGTTAATTTCTATTTTATTTTCTCGGAAAAATTAATTTTCCACGGAAAATGCCACTAAAATGCTCGAATAATGCTCAATGCTTTTGCCTCACTAAAATGCTCGAAAAAATGCTAGCATAATGTACAAAAGCCTAGTTACGCTTCCACATAATAACGAATTTATTATTATTATTTTTGTTATTTAATGGTTTCAGTTATAACTATGTGTAATCTTATAAAGCGTTAGATACGCGCGAGATTTTAAGTACTTTTGCAAACGATGTTCATGAACGATGAAAACAAACGCCACGGACAAGCGATTAAAATTGCAAGAGAGACTACTAACGATCAATAAAACAAATACAATTCGGTGAAACTTTTACAGAGACAACAATTTTCATTCACGAAGACTAGCATTAAAGTGTCTTTAAAAATCCTGAGTCTTTACGCTTAAAGCTTAAGCTTAAGTTAATTATGTTTTACTTTCAGCCGGCCTCCCGGTGTTTGCTTTTTCAAAGATGAACTCCTCGAAGCAAGAAAATCGCTCAAAGTTTTCTTTCTACAGCCAAATTTATAACTAAATATTCTTCGGAACGTTTTCTCTCTATTTGCGGTGAGAAAATATATCTGAAGGCCTTTTCAAGTTCTGCTATCTTATATCAAACCTGATACTAGGTCAGATCATTGACTCAAATCTTACAAACGTGCATAAACTTGCCGCATAAACTGTGCTCGACTTCATGAAATTAGATATAACAAAAACATACATCAAATACAATAATTACTCAGGCTTACCATTCGAGATTCAGTTCCTGAAAGATATCAAGGAAGGCCACAGTTGCTTGAGACTTCAAACCCTCTTACGCATTAAGCAAGGTGAAAACGAAAACCATGCCATCCGAAATGGGATTACCGAATTTTGACAAGCGACGCATTTCCCAACCAAAAACCCAATAAACAAACCAGCCATGAATAACAGAAGACTCTTGATAGCAGCTGTATTTCATTTTGTACATCCAGTAGAAAAAGGCAGTTAAAAACATCACAAGTTGACACAAAACTCTGTCAGCTTCAGCTGTCAAAGTAAACAACTTTCAAGATGCTCCATACATTTTCCGCATGAACTCACCTGTCCAATTTTGACCAATCAGAGCATAAAAATTGGACGTAGAGCGTGACCAACGTGTGACCATGGTAAGAAAAGGTCTTCCCCCCCCCTGTATGTTTAAAAAAACTGACTGAATTTTCGCGTCTGCAGTCAGTTTGAAATCAAAATCTTAACCGTGCTGGGCCATATTGACATAAACACAACATATTTCATATGAATCATTGGAAAAAATAAACTTGATCCCGCGATCATTTGAAACTGGTAATTTGTCAGCGGATAACTTCAAAATATGCTCCACCCCGATGGGTAGAAATTGAGCCCGCGATACGTCAGGTGATACTGGTCAGCGGATACCCTGTTTTGACAGCTGTCAATTGATCACAACATTGATATGCAATTAGTTTTCCCTTGGGCTCCCAAACTAGCTAGAAAGTGTGAGAGTAAACATTGGTTACCCTGTGGTGCGGACGGACGGTCGGGCGTACGGTCACGTGATTACCAAATTTTCTCCGATGGGTAGATTACCACATTTCCTTAGCTATGGGGCTCCGTCCACGCGCCCGCTTCGCGCGCGGGTGGAGTTCCGCTACCAATAAAAACGGAAATAAATTTTAATCGTAAATTTATCTAAAAGAGGTTGGTCCAGGATATTTTTGGATCCTCAAGAAATAATGAAGAACGTGGAAAAAGCCGTCCTTTTGGGGCTTCATTTCTTGACTTAATTTTAACAAGGACACGCTGACTTTACGTCACGTTATCTAATCAGCATTAGAGAGCTTTAGATTCGAGGACGAGGACCACTACGAGTACGAGATTTTCCCAATACTGAGTAATGCGTGCGCGAACTAACTTCATTTTGGCGGGAAAATGTGGTAGCCGTCGTCATTCTACAACCGGTTTTAGCAAGAATGTCGTAGTGGCGGGAACAGTTTATCAAATGTATTGAAGACGTTTTATCATATTGGCATCGGGAGAGGGCTTAACCTTCTTTATGCATCAGTCAATTCCAGCTGCGCCCAGATGGCAAATTCCCGGGAGCAGGGACTCTTTAGTTGTCACATTCCGTGGGTGAGGACGAAAAAAAGAAAGCAAATGCCCCGTCCTCCATGAACACTGCAATATTTTTTATTGATCGTACAATTCAGTAGTGCCATTTTAAGCATTTTAATGTACGATTTTTTGTTTCAATTAACGTCTGCCTTTGTAATAGCGCTATTCTAATTCGGACTTCGCGCCGCGATGACACCAGTCTACGGTTTTAGCATTGTTAATAGTGTGCTGAAAGTTTATCTGTTCTGAATAGTTTTATAAATATGAAAGGACGTTCTTCAAATACTATCAACAGAAACTTGATTCAATAACCAAAAAAACGTCTATTCACGTCGATAACTCGCGATGTCTCTGTGTAATTCTGGCTTGATAAGCAATGAAGAAATGCATGCATAAAATCAAGAAAATGCCTTTACAACCCTCTACAATTTTTTCCCGTCCTTGACAGATGAGCCGATCTGCTAGTTTTTCCAGTAAAATCCTCTTTGTACTATTACACTATCTGCTGAAATTTTAGCTAAAGCAACCAGATCGAACAAGAATATTAAAGGAATATCTAAAAACAACTCAGAAATTAAAATTAGCCAGTATGCAGATGACACAACTTTCATTCTTAACGGTACTAGAGATTCATTATCCGCCACACTTAAGATGATCGAGACTTTTAGCAGTATGTCTGGTCTCAGACTCAACAGTAAAAAGACTGAAGCTCTATGGATTGTATCAATGGCAGGAAATAAGAAAAAACTTCTTCCCGAGAAGAATTTTAAATGGCCAGAAAACAAAGTTAAGGTCCTTAGCGTTTGGCTTTCGACCGATCCTGATATCACATTAAGCTTAAACTATAGGGAAAAAGCGGACAAAATTAAAAACATATTAAGCAATTGGAAATATAGGCGGCTAACGTTACTCGGCAAAATCCAAGTTATTAAAAGCTTAGCGGCATTTCAACTTACGTATATTTTAGCTCCGCTGCCGACAAATCATAAAATTATCTTTGGAACAATAAGTGCGATAAGATTAAGCGAAGTGTCATGACAAACGACTACAACAATGGAGGGTTAAAAATGATTGACATCGCTTCATTTACCAAATCGCTCAAGACTGTTTGGATCAAAAAATACCTTGACGACTCTAACCGCGGAAAATGGAAATATTTTTTTGAAGTAGAACTTAAGAAGCACGGCGGCAAACTAGTCTTCACATGTAATTTACACAAACGTGACATTTCAAAGTCGATATCGGTCCAAGACCCATTTCTAAAAGAAATTTTAGAAATATGGTCAGAAATTAATTTTGATGCTAAAATCAAAACCGAGCAGCAATTCCTTGAACAACATATATGGCATAATTCGCTGGTTAGGATCGAAAACAGACCGGTCTTCTACAAACATCTTTTCCTGCATGGAATCACTAAGGTAGCCCACTTAATGACAGACTCGCGGAATTTTCTCCCCCTAGCAGATTTTATCAGCACTTACAAAATACAAATACAACCCATAAAGTACTTCGGCTTAATTTCTGCCCTTCGACACCATTATAAGACTAACTTTCTTAGTAAAGAACCTAGTAGCACAGACATTCCCAATACCTCCCCCGAGACCTTCTCCGATAGCCTGAATTTCATCCGATTACTTCGAGTCGTTATTACTCCCTCAGTAACGTCTGAATCGACCAGCCGTTAATGCCGTCCAGTGACGTCACTACTCCTTGACCTTTGCTTTAATTCATACAAAAAGTAAAACACTATTTTCAAGTGGCAAACCGAGAAATATCGTTTGGAAATGTCTGCATGATACAGAACTGCTTTATTTTTTTCGATCGTAATTCATGTTTAACGTTCAAACTATCAACTGCACGCAGTACAACTCTGAACCGATTGTACTAAATTCTATATTCAAACTCGGTCGCAATCACGCAATGAATTAAACACACACACGGAACACTTAGTTAAAAAACACAATGATTTTCTTTAATTGAAACGAAGCTATTTGGTCCTTAACGAAGAAAAAAACAAGGAGACAAGAAAGAAAAGCTAACAGAATGATTACACTTGACGGTAAAAATAGCAAGAAGTTTGAATTATAACATTGATCACAGAAAACTTCGCGTAAACAAAATCACCAGCCGCCGAAACCACGAAGCGGCTCTAAATAAAAAACCTACCGCCTCTCCGCAATGATTCTTCATTCGCAGTTCAATTTAGCATTTCAGTTTCGAAGACAGGGGCAATTTTGCTGTTTAAGATAAAGATTAAGCTTTTCGAAATGTTTGATCTAAACGAAAGAATGCCAGGGATGTGATCCGCTGAACATCAAGCGACAATACCGCTAAAATTTTTCATAATTATACATAATTATGCTAATGTTTAGACAATCAACCAATCAAAATCACTACCCGGTTTTCGGGTAGTGAGTGACGTCACTGGACAGCATTAACGGCTGGTCGATTCAGACGTTGTTGAGAGGAGAAAACGACTCGAAGCAATCGGATGAATTTCAGGCTACTTCTCCAAGACTTTTTTCAAGAACGATAAAGTGAACAGAGTTGTATACCAGAAGCTCCTCTCTTCCAAAAGCACCGTACCGTTTAAGAGCCAAGAGAAATGGAATGACAGCATTAAATCCGACCAAAGATGCTCTGCTGACTGGACCAGCGCCTATTGTCTGGCAGCTAGGTGCACAAAAAGCACAAAACTTGTAAACTTTCAATTTAGATTCCTTCACCGAATTTTACCAACGAACCTTTTCCTAACAAAAATCGATATAAAGCAGGACCCGAATTGCTCTTTCTGTACCATCCATCCCGAAAACCTAATCCACCTCTTCTGGAACTGTACAATAGTAGCCACCTTTTGGGAAAATTTGACTGAAAAACTAAAGCAGATCAATCTAATAACGATAGATTATCCAAAATACACTGCTGTATATCTGGCCCTGAAACCAGACACCTCCAAGTTTTCACTTCAACTAAATTTCTGCTTTCTCCTGGCAAGATATTATATATGGAGCTGCAGGGTCAACCAGAAAATTCCGAATTTAACAACCTTTCTTATGTCCCTTAAATCGCAGTTTTACATAGAGTCCAACAACATTGATGCAACTTCTAAGAAATGGAATCCTTTACGTCCACTTCTCAACATTACATAGCTTTTGGTAAAATAAAAGCTTTCCTATTTATCCATTTTCTGTAAATGAACCAAGGCCAAAGTGCAATTGAGAGCTAGACATACCGCCAATATTTCTTAATTAAAGTATCTATTTCACATATCTTTCCGCACTGTTTATTAATCATCTTATTAATCATCTAATTATACATATTTATGATTTATTATTAATATTATAGCAATTGTTGTCAATGTTATCTCAAGTAGTTATTGCTAAAAACCGTTTTAGGCAGAGGAGTCGCCTTTTTTCTTTCTTTCTTTTCTTTTCTTTTCATTTATTTATTGTCTTTAGTAGTCCTTTTGTTTGTTGTAAACTAGTTTTAGGTATTTTAATGTAAGTAAGTAACAAACAAGTAAGTAGTAAAGCTGTAACGTAAGTAAATTTTGTAGTCTTGTTGTAAGTAAGTACCGTGTAGCTGTATTGTAAGTGAATGCCAAGTGTGATTATAAAAAAATAATAATAATAATAATAAAAATCCTCTTTGTACTTATATTCTGATAGGAAACCATGTGCGTGTCAAAAGCTCGGGGGCGGCACCGGAGTTGGCAGATGCCCGAGCCCCGGGAAGGGCAAAATTTGCTAATGCCCCATCCCTGGGACTGACAAGGCGGGAAAATGCCCCGCGGTCGCCCGGGGGCGGGGCTAGGCACAGCTGGAATTGAGTGATGCATTAGTATAAAAAACCGTACTAACCTTTTTTGGCAAAAAAAGACAAGTGAAATGAAGCTTTCCGAGGTGTTCTTTTTAGAACACGCGCAAAAACTTTAAGTTGAATCTTTTACTCGAACTCGTTCTCGTCCTCAGATCTAAAGCTCTCTATTATCTTTAAATCGTAGCTTACCGCTGATGGATCACCTCCACAACATTGTCCTGAAAATCTCCAAATATTGCTCCTCCAAACCTCATGTAAATTTTGTCTCCAAGATTTGGCTCAAATTTAAAATGGGGAGAAAGTACAGCATGAAAAACGACAGTCATTTCGTTGCCCTTATAAGGTTCAAAGTACTCCCTCTTCATTTTTGACGACGCTCCGTTGTTTTTTGCACGATCTTTGGAGTTTTTTCCACCAAAATCGTTTTCCTCGTTGTTACGAGTTTGTTCCTTATCAGCCAGTTGGTTATGGTTATCACTCTGAGTAAGATTTTTCCTGCAAAGAGTATATATAGCTGATGGACCGTACTCACGATACTCGCCATCTTTGCAACCGCTTAAGGATTGATGGAATAAAAGCAATGTCACGTGGTTTCTCTCAGGGGATAAACAAGAAAAAATAGCCAATGTAAGAAATGGCGATCAAATTTGTTTAATGTAGACAACAGAAAATGAAGAACTTTTCATCTTAAAGACGATAATGGCAAAATATGGGTGGAAGTGCTCATTGTTACACAGCAAGAAAAACGGCATTTTGCTACTCGGAAAACGCGCGGTAGCGACCGTATATGTTCTCACAGCAAACAATAATGACGTAAATCTTGTCGAAACTCGAACTATACATTTTGCATGACTATTAAATCGTCGTTTCGCTTTTATAGAGTATACAAACTCGACGGCGATTACTCATATTGGCAAATTTTAGCACTTGTTTGCTCCTGAAACACCACGTGATATTACCTTTATTCCATCGATCCTAAAGCGCGTGGAAAGATGGCGGGTATCGTGAATAGGGTCTATTCAAATGTTGCTTTAAGGGTTGGGAATTGAGCACTAGGAAGCTATTGTTTGATGGTCACTCAAGCAAATCAATACAGTAAGTTCCGTATGTCCAATGCCCAATTACCGATGACCAATAGACCTTGTCACGGTTTTCGACGCCATCTTGACGAGCAGGCAAACGCGTGAGAAATTACAGTGTTTGTATGAGAATCTTAAGTCGAATAATTTCCGTAAAACGGCTGTTCTGAAAAAAATATGAATTGTAAACTCAAGCTACAAAGCAAAGGATTGTACTAAAAAATTATTGGGGCGTACCTGTGCTTAAACGTTCTAGGTGTTCTAGCGCATGTAACGCCCTCAATCTTTTTCAGTAGAGTCCTTAAGTTGGCTCGACTGCATTTTTTGGCGTTCAAACCTCCAAACTTTGAGCATTAACTACGTCGGCATGAGTAAAGATATGGAAAAAAGGTTACCACAACTGTATTATATAAAGATAAAAATTTCCTATGATCTGGGTTTTATTGCAATCGGAGTCGCCATGGCAACGTAATGACGCCATTACGTTTTTCATTTATCTTTGCGTTTCTCTGTTCCGGGAGTTTTTTGAAGAAATCGCCTTAGGGAGTATGAGCCCGCTATAATTGCCTCCATTATGGCAAAGTTTGAACAAATTCTATGAGAGCGTTTTCGAAATATTTTGAAATGTAGTTTTAAGAATAATAAAAACAGTGAAATAGCATGCTACCTACACAATTCGCTAATATTTTACCGTCCTCATTATTCACTGGCATTGTTTTCAAGTTTCATATGCACGTGCACAACTAGCAAAAGATATAAATTTGCATCAAAAAGAACTCTCGATTACTTTCCGAAGAAATATCCGGAATATGCTAATAATTGGCTTGTTGTCACAGATAGCAGTGAGAGCCGAAACGGTGAACGTCGCGGTTCATCGTGCAGGATGGAATACTTAATTATCTTACTCGGGTTATAACATCACAGAAACTCTCACAAAGAGTTGCTCTGATGTTATAATGTATCATTAATCTCTTTACCCGGTAATTAGCATATCCCGGAGATTTAACCGAGGGTCCTTTTTGATGCAAATTTTATCTTTTTGCTAAACGTGCACGTGTATATGAAACTTGAAAACAATGCCAGTGAATAATGAGGACGCTCACTTGTAAACACAAAATATGGCGGGGAAATTGGTTATATTTGAGGCCCTATTCAAAAGCCTTCCCTATTTTCAATGTTCTTGAAACTTGCAGGGAATATTTCTTGACAATTGATCTCGGGGTTGTCGAATTTATAAAAAAAATTATCGAGCGGTTTTTGGAAAAATGCGAAATTTTTAGGCATGGACCAAATTACGTCCAAAAACTATCAAAAGCAGCTGAATTCAAGTTAATAAAATTCTTCTTACTCGCGATCGCCCCGAGCAATTCCCCTCTTTTTTTGTATGCAGTTTTCAATGGAATCAAACCACTATGAGATGAAGCCTCGTTCCCAAAACTTATTATTTTCTTAAAATATTAGCGAATTGTGTGGCTAGCATGCTATTTCACTGTTTTTATTATTCTGAAAACTACATTTCATAGAATTTGTTCAAACTATGCCATAATGGAGGCAACATAATGGAGGTACATACTCCCTTAAGCAATTTCTTCAAAAAACTCCTGGAACAGTGAAACACAAAGATAAATGAAAAACGTAATGGCCTCATTACGTTGCCTTGGCGACTCCGAATCCAATAAAACCCAGATCATAAGAAATTTTCATCTTTACATAATACAGTTGTGGTAACCTTTTTTCCATATCTTTACTCCTGCCGACGTAGTTAATGCTCAAAGTTGGGAGGTATCAACCCCAAAAAATCTAGTCGAGCCACCTTAAGAATGAAGCTTTAGTTTACAATTGATATTTTTTTCAGAAAAGACGTTATACGGAAATTATTGGACATTAGATTCTCATACAAACACTGTAATTTCTCACGTGTTTACCTACTCGTCAAGATGGCGTCGAAAACCGTGACAAGGTCTGTAATCAAAGCAACCTTTATTGAATTAGGAGTAGATTAACAAACCAACATTTTATTCAGAGTAACATTTAACAACTGACCTGCCCTGATATCGCTGACGATAAAGACAAAAAAAAGAGCCTCACAGCACGATGTAAAATTCATGAATGACAATCAAAGAATGAACTGGCGAGCAAATAAAAAATATAGCACTAAAAATGTAAAAAAAAAAACGCGCTTAATTGTTGCGGTAGAGTAAGAGGTGCCAACAGCCAAACTAGAGGCTACAATGATTATGACTGTTATGATGATGCTGGATATACAAGCCAGCGGGAAGTGCCAAAGTTTACCGCCTTTAAGACAACTGGAATGTATAATGGCCGGTGTAAATGACTGTTTGCGCTGCACAAATGTTACAAGAAATAAGAGAATAAAAATCAACAAACTTGATATAAGTAATGTCAACGGAGAGGAGCACCAAAGGGGGAAAGAGACCAATAGTGATACCAAGAACGACCTAGCCATTGGTCATGAAGGTAGAGAGAAGAAAGGTGGAGTGGCGCGACTGCGGGGACATGGCGAGAGTAGCAGCCAAAGACATACAGATGGAATGTCAGGAAGACTACTGATATGACAAGTAACGAAGATGAGAACTTTTCAATTGAGCCTAAATGATCTAAATGTTAGTGAAGCTAAATAAAGGTCTACTAAACAAAACAGTGGACTCACTGCGCTGCTTCTCTTCTTCCTTCTTCTTCTTTCCTTTTTTTCCTTTCTTTCTTTTTTTCCTTTTTCTTCTGGGACCTGCTCAAGGGCAGTTTCCTTTTCGTGAATGCAGATTGTGCTGCCTTATCTTTTTGTGGATTTGAATTATCTTCCTAAAGAAAAAAATGTAAAAAACAAAACGAAACGACATGAAGCAGTCAACAAACACATGACAATTTTAACTGTTCAACATCATAAAGATGATTCATCGATTAAAACTAGATTTAAAAAGCAGATTTAACTTCTAATTCTTCATATACATATCATTAACATGAACCCAATAACACCTGAACCAGTGGTCGTAAAAGATAAACGGATGAATAACTTTGACAGTGACACAGCACTAAAAATGATTTCTGATATTTTTTAGAGAGGACGTAATTACGACTGACCAGATCATCATTTCAGTCAAAAAAAAAAAAAAACAGAAAAATACCACCTACACATTATGTTGATGTGATATTAATTTACTAGGGTGCCATATTTTATTCTAAAAAGCTTCAAGATGGGATGTTACTAAAACGAGGAACGGGGAGCGGGGAGCGGGGAGCGGGGAACGGGGAACGGGGAACGGAAGTCGGGGAACGAGTTGTCAGCGAAAACCTCCACAAAAATCCAAAAATGGCGGTCCAAAAAACGAGAGAGAGCACAGGTAGCCCAAGCTCACTATGAGAGCCCTGAACAACATTATCCTACTTTGCTAATTAATTATTCATACAGCAAGAAAATTATAAGACGTTGTATGGAGAAATATTCTTTGCTCACTAAATTAGCAAAATGTACATTGAATATCGCTTTGAAGCTTACCTTTAGCGTCTTCTTGTTTTTCTTTGTATTCTGACTGCATTTCAGACCTCCTAGGCACTGTTTAAGGCCTTTTTTGGAGCGACAGTTTTTCACCCAGATAGTGACATGTGATATCCAAACATGTCGCGTTGTTGCATTTGGTTGATCTCTACTCTTCTTTTTAAAAAGCGTTTGACAATGGTTTTTTATGTATGATTTAGAAAAAAATATTGCAATAAGAATTACTACGGCTGTAAACAGTTGTTACCTATTTTTTTCAACCGCTTTTAAAAAAGAAGAGTGGAGATCAATCAAATGCAACAACGCGACATGTTTTGATATTACATGTCACTATCACACGCGATGTTTGACTTCTGCGACCCCGGAGTGCAACGTGAGAAGTGAAAAATCAGTTACTGTGCCCAGTAGGCTAAATGCTCCAATTGTCCTTTGACGGTTGAACAATTTGACCCTGCCAGCCCGCGTCGGTTTGAAATTGTCGACTTGACGGTTGGAGTCCGTTGCGGGTCTGCTCTCGACTCGCCTAACCTCAGCCGTGTATTGCCCTCTTCGTTGGCGATTTAGGACCTTCAAAATGGGAATTTTGGCGATGTGAATGATGGAAAATGTGCGTTATTTATCAGGACATCTGTTTCTGGCGGAATTGTCTCCATGTCGCAAATGTCACGGAATTTATCGCCGCGGAGCCGGTCAAGAGAGGTTTTCCAACCTTCTCTTCTCTTCTTTCTACTGTCATCTGGGTGAAAAACTGTCGCTCCAAAAAAGGCCTTAAACGGTGCCTAGGAGGTCTGAAATGCAGTCAGAATACAAAGAAAAACAAGAAGACGCTAAAGGTGAGCTTCAAAGCGATATTCAATGTACATTTTGCTAATTTAGTGAGCAAAGAATATTTCTCCATACAACGTCTTATAATTTTCTTGCTGTATGAATAATTAATTAGCAAAGTAGGATAATGTTGTTCAGGGCTCTCATAGTCAGCTTGGGCTACCTGTGGAGAGAGAAAGAAGAAGACAAAGAAAGGAATTCGTGTCTTGGTTGAATCAGGTGGGGACGAAATTGCAAATCAGACTTCCATTTTACGTTTACGTTTTGAGCAGGTGGTATGTTTTTTCGATATTCAACCTGTTTCATTTACAATATGATAAGGTCTTAGGTCTTAGTTTTCGAGACACCTGGCACTCACATTACTTCTGAATTACTCCGTTTACTTTAGACCGTCGCTTAATCCTGCCTATTTATCCCCCTGAATGTTCTTTTTCCCACTCAGACAAACTCTTGGAGAGTAAAGGTTTTATCCAAGCCCATTATGCCCTGTTTTGAGAATGCTTGGTAAATAACTCGCAGGCATTGTAATGAGAAATAAACGTGGAATTTATTAATGCATGTACATATAGTGTTCTCGCGTTCTGTGCTTGAGTCAAACTTTGTACAGCTATTAGTGTTTAAAACTAACGGCTAAAACTTGTTTTTTGCAAATTTTTTTATAACTGGGAAAGCTTGTTGTTGTTGTTAGTGTTATATTAAAGTCATTGAGTGATGAGTTATGAATCGTTTAAGGTCAGGGTTTGGCATTGAAAGCAGGGTTAAGCACTGACTTCAAGAAGGTGGTGGACAAAACACTGACCCCCATTCCATGAACTACGCCCAATGACTACCCTAAAATGGACTATGCCACTGAAGTTAAGTGATTAGGGTTAGGAAACTGAGTGAATCAGGTTCCATTTAGGGTCCTTATACTGGGAAACTGACCTAAAACTTCATTCACTCAGTTTCCTAACCCTAATCACTAAACTTCAGCAGTGTAGTCCATTTTAGGGTATGTGCATGAAGTGTGGGTCGGTGTTTTGTCCACCACCCTTCAAGAAGTGTTTATTCAGGTTTCTCACTATATTTACTGTATGTACCAGTATTTGTTTAAAGCAGATAGTAGCAGTTAATCCGAGATATTTGAAGTTTTTCACTTGACTCATGACTCATCGACTCAATTATTTAATTGCCTCTATAATTTCAACTCCTTGACCCATAACTTGGCCTAATTTTAAACCGGCATTTTCTTGGCCTTTACTAGAAACGCCAAAGCTCATTTAGTGCATGTTTTTTCCTAATATAAACACAACAAATTGTACTGTCAGTCCTCTACCATACCCCCTCCTGAATGCTTAGGCCAATATTACATGGCACAAGGCTAAAGAGAGTGAGAGACATACTAGAAATGCCGCACTGACTACTGCCAACATATACATGATTTTTACCAATACATTTTTGTGCCAAGCAAGTGGTACATTCATGGTTGTCTTGTTGTAGTCCTCTAAGGAGAGGGAGGCTGAATAGAGGATTTACAGTAAAAGGTCTAAAGGGAATTTTTGCCACTTCACTCTCTATGGAGATGAAAGGGTTTGAGGCAATTATGCAGTTTTCCCCTTATAATCTAGTTATGGTCAAAAGTTGCCTGCGTGCAGACGTCTCCTATTTCCTTTGTTGCACGCGGAAAAGGGACGTCTGCGTAACGCCGTCGCTAATCGTGTTCCAGCGTCCTGCTGGGTTCCCAAGATCTTGGGAACACGCTGTGATAGGCTGACACACAGTGCGCA